TTCGAGACAGGGTTTCTCTGTAGCTTTGGAGCCTGTCCTGGAACTAGCTCTTGTAGATCAGGCTGGCCTTGAACCATATCTTTCTGATTGTGCCTTCCTGAAACCACTGTATTGCTCACTCTCTCGCTTCCTGAGGACCTCTGCCCAAAGAGCCCTTTATTAAAAAATAAATAAAAAGCACTCCTTTTCCGTTTCCCTCATCACACTCGCTGACTTCTAACATGTAATGTGCGTGCCTACTGTTGTTTCATGCTGGAATACAAGCTGGAGTGAATAGGCAGATAAAATATTGAACTTGAATTTCAGATAAATGCATAAATAAATAAAAAAGAATTGCTTATTGATTTTTTATTCGAGACAGGGTTTCTCTATGTTAGTCCTGGCTGTCCCAGAACTCACTCTGTAGACCAGGCTAGCCTTGAACCCAGAGATCGGCCTTCCTCTGCCGCCGGACCTTTCGCCCTATTTTTCATAGCCGAGTACATAAATATTATCCTAATGAATGCCCTTTCAACAATTGTATTATAGGCCCATTCCATGATTTTGTCAACCCAGAACTCTACACCATAAACTTCATATTAAAAACCCTAGTATTAACAACCCTTTTCCTATGAATCCGAGCCTCCTATCCACGATTCCGATACGACCAACTAATGCACCTCCTATGAAAAAACTTCCTACCCTTAACTCTAGCTTTCTGCATATGACATATCTCCACCCCAATTTTCATAGCAAGTATTCTACCCTACACCTAGAAATATGTCTGAAAAAAGAGTTACTTTGATAGAGTAAATCATAGAGGTTTAAACCCTCTTATTTCTAGAACAATAGGAATTGAACCTATCCTTGAGAATCCAAAATTCTCCGTGCTACCCATTACACCCCATTCTAAAAGTAAGGTCAGCTAATAGAGCTATCGGGCCCATACCCCGGAAATGTTGGTTTAAACCCTTCCCGTACTAATCAATCCAATCACACTTACAATTATTTACTTAACTATCATAACAGGGCCAATAATTACCATATCGAGCTCCAATCTATTTGTTATATGAATTGGGCTAGAGATAAACTTGCTAGCCCTTATTCCACTCATAATCAACAACTCCAACCCCCGCTCCACTGAAGCAGAGACTAAATACTTCCTCACACAAGCAACTGCCTCAATAATCCTCCTCCTCTCCATCCTTATAAACTTCAAACAGCTAGGACTATGGACATTCCAACCCGAAACCAACTAGGACTATGGACATTCCAACCCAAAACCAACAACACTATCATAACAATAACTTTTATCTCCCTAGCAATCAAGCTAGGGTTAGCCCCCTTCACTCATGACTTCCAGAAGTCACACAGGATATCAAACTTAACGTAGGACTTATTCTTCTTCCATGACAAAAAATCGCCCCACTATCCATCCTGTTCCAATTCTATGAACTAGTTAACCCTAATCTACTGATTTTATCAGCCATTATTTCAGTATTGATTGGAGCATGAAATGGACTTAACCAGACACAAACACGAAAAATCCTAGCCTACTCATCCATCGCCCACATAGGATGAATAGTCTCTATTTTACCGTACAACCCATCACTAACAACCCTAAATCTCCTAATCTACATCATTATAACTGTCCCCATATTTCTTATCTTCCACGCCCACTCATTTACATCAGTCACTTCCATGTCACTCATATGAAATAAAATACCAATAGCCCTACCTATAATCTCATTAATTTTATTATCAACGGGAGGACTGCCACCGCTCACAGGATTTCTACCTAAATGAGCTATTATCACTGAACTCATTAAAACAATAACTTATCTTTAGCCACATTAATAGCAATAGCCACCCTAATCAATCTATTCTTTTACACATGACTAATTTATTCAACCTCACTAACCACCTTCCCAAGCAATAACAACTCCAAAATATATATTCACCAAGACCATACAAAAAGCAACAACATGTTATCACCAATAATAATCATTAGCACACTGATACTTCCCCTATCTCCCTTACTTCTATAGCAGAAGTTTAGGATAGTTAGTCCCAGAGCCTTCAAAGCACTAAGCAAACCCACAAAGTTTAACTTCTGATAAGGACTGCAAGACTACATCTTATATCTAATGAGTGCAAATCAATTGCTTTAATTAAGCTAAATCCTCTACTAGATTGATAGGACTCAAATCTATAAACTTTTAGTTAACAGCTAAACACCCTAATATGGGTTCAATCTACTTCTCCCGCCTATCAGGAAGGGGGCAGGAGAAGCCTTGGTAGATTCAGTTCTCTACACCTTCGAATTTGCAATTCGATGTGATTATCACCTTAAGGCTTGGTAAAAAGAGGCTTTATCCTCTGTGCTTAGATTTACAGTCTAATGCTTTACTCAGCCATTTACCTATGTTCATTAACCACTGATTATTCTCTACCAATCATAAAGACATCGGGACCCTATACCTACTATTTGGGGTCTGAGCAGGGATAGTAGGGACAGCCCTTAGCATCCTAATTCGAGCAGAACTTGGTCAACCAGGCGCCCTATTAGGCGATGGCCAAATCTATAACGTAATTGTCACAGCCCACGCGTTCGTAATAATCTTCTTCATAGTTATGCCAATGATAATTGGTGGCTTCGGCAACTGACTTGTCCCACTTATAATCGGAGCACCAGATATAGCATTTCCCCGAATAAATAATATAAGTTTCTGACTTTTACCCCCATCGTTTCTCCTCTTACTGGCATCATCAATAGTAGAAGCCGGAGCAGGAACAGGCTGAACTGTTTACCCTCCATTAGCTGGCAATTTAGCACATGCTGGGGCATCAGTTGACCTAACCATTTTTTCATTACACTTAGCAGGTGTGTCCTCAATCCTTGGGGCAAGTAACTTCATTACTACAATCATCAATATGAAACCACCAGCTATAACACAATATCAAACCCCCTTATTTGTCTGATCAGTCCTAATCACTGCTGTCCTTCTGCTCCTTTCCCTCCCTGTTCTAGCCGCAGGAATTACAATACTTCTTACAGACCGTAATCTGAATACCACTTTCTTCGACCCAGCTGGAGGGGGTGACCCCATCCTCTACCAACACCTGTTCTGATTCTTTGGACACCCAGAGGTATATATTCTTATTCTCCCTGGCTTTGGTATCATCTCCCATATCGTAACCTACTACTCAGATAAAAAAGAATCATTCGGATACATGGGTATGGTCTGAGCTATGATATCTATCGGGTTCCTAGGATTTATCATCTAAGCCCACCATATATTCACAGTAGGACTTGACGTAGGCACACGAGCTTACTTTACATCGGCCACAATAATTATTGCCATCCCAACAGGAATAAAAGTCTTTAGCTGATTAGCAACCCTACATGGGGGTAATATCAAATGATCCCCTGCAATTCTATGAGCGCTAGGATTTATTTTCCTATTTACAGTAGGAGGGCTGACAGGTATTGTGTTATCCAACTCTTCCCTAGACATTGTCCTTCACAACACATATTATGTAGTTGCTCACTTCCACTATGTTCTTTCCATAGGTGCTGTCTTTGCTATTATGGCCAGATTTGTACACTGATTCCCACTATTTACAGGGTATACACTAGATGATATGTGAGCTAAAACCCACTTCACCATTATATTCGTAGGGGTAAACATGACATTTTTCCCACAACATTTCCTTGGTCTATCAGGCATACCACGACGTTATTCCGACTACCCAGATGCTTACACAACATGAAATACAGTCTCATCTATAGGATCCTTTATCTCACTAACAGCAGTTCTAATTGTAATTTTCATAATTTGAGAAGCCTTTGCTTCTAAATGAGAAGTACTTAATGTGGAACACGCTTCCACAAATTTAGAATGACTTCACGGTTGTCCCCCACCATATCATACATTTGAAGAGCCAACCTTCGTTAAAGTAAAATAAGAAAGGAAGGATTCGAACCCCCTAAAACTGGTTTCAAGCCAGCACCATAGCCTCTATGTCTTTCTTAATGAGATATTAGTAAATAAATTACATAACTTTGTCAAAGTTAAAGTGCTGAGATTAAAGGGTGTGTGTGCCACCACCGCCCAGATCAATTATTTTTTAAAATGAGGTTGTCATAGATATTGGAGGGCTCTTATAATTTAAAAATAGCTAATCCAGGCATGGCAATGCACACCTTTAATCCCAGCCAGCACTCAAGAGGCGAAGGCAAACAGATTTCTGCAAATTTAAGGCTGGCCTGGACTATACAGCTAGTTCTAAAACAGCCCGGACTATGTAGAAAGCCTCTCTCAAAAAAAAAAAAAAAAACAGCCGGGCGCTGGTGGCGTACGCCTTTAATCCCAGCACTCGGGAGGCAGAGGCAGGCGGATCTCTGTGAGTTCGAGACCAGCCTGGTCTACAAAGGGAGTTCCAGGACAAGCTCCAAATCCACAGAGAAACCCTGTCTCGAAAAAACAAAAAACAAAACAAAAAAAAATCGCTGTTTATCTGGTATTCTAACTTTACTAGTAGTCTGTGTTTTATTTGCTAAAATAAAATACAAGGAACACAAAGACGTTGGTTATTCTGTCTATTGCAGCATCCCCAGAACTAGAACAGGCTTGAAATGTCACTCTCAATAAACATTTATTGATAGATGCATGAACGGATGGATGAATTATTCAGCTGGGCCATTAAAACTGCAAGCCTAGACAGCCTAAGAGGGGTGGAGCCTCTGAAGAACTTTTCAGCTGACAGAGCGTCGGGAGTCTGTCCCTGTCCCTGCCCCTCGGCAGGCAAAACTCCGCCTCGCCTCCGCTGAAGGAGCTGCAGACTCCCGCGGTCCCGGGTCCAGGGGGCGGGATCTATCCGACCTGACACCAGACCCAACCCGGGCCAGAGCCGCGGCCCCTTTAACTCTCCACCTCCCCAGCACCGTTCTCGCCCTCCGGATTGACGTCACCAGGAGCGCCCAATGGGGGTGCGGTTTACTGGGAGGCTGTGCCCGGGGCCGCTGCCAAAGGGGAAGTGAGCTGGGGCTGGAGCGATGGCCCGGGTCTGCAGCCTGCGGCCGCCGCCGCCGCCACCGCCTGCGCGTCCAGAGCAGCCGCGGCCGGAGCAGGGGCCGGAGGTGCGGCTGGGCTGGCCGCGGCGTGTGTGAGTTGCGGAAGTCGCCGGCGGGGGAACACCGCACCCTCGGAGCACTCCAGGCTGGCCGAGCGGTGGTCTCCCCTCAACACCGCGCCCCTCAAGGCCCGGCAGCAGGGCTGGAGTTTACCCAGGCTCCGGCTCCTCTTTCGCCGGTCTTTCAAACTCAGGACAGAAGTCACAGAAAGGTGATCATCCCTAATCCCAGCCGGCTTCCTGGCCTGGGAGTTTTTTAGGCGCCCAGGCAGTGGCAGTGTCCTCCTGTCGCCACCTCTCCAGCCACGGATTAGCGAGTACCCACTGCCTGCTCTGCAAAGTCTTCTGTCCTCCCATTCGAGAACAAGTTTATTTTCTCTCTGCCTTGGAAATCTTGTCCCAGAGAGCCAGAGTACCTTAGTTTTGTGTATCTTTTCTCAGCTTCTGGAGTACTCCTAGAAATACTGGCTGCCTACAGGGCTAAGAGTCTTGTTCTTGACTCAGCGGGTTGTTTTATTTTCCTTTCGTCAGGAATTTATCCGTTTGACCACCAGTTCCTTGGCCATCTCTATGTAACTTCCCCCCTCCCCCCCCCCCAATTCATCACTGTCCAGTTTCTTCTGGGCTCCATTCTCCAGACCCCAGTAGATCTGGTCAGTCCCACCTCTGGGTGGGAGTGATCAGGGGGCTCTGGCCCAAGATTTCCAACCCTGGAAGGCAGTTCCAAGGCAGCGAGAGAGTTGGGCGTCGGGTACGAACCTGGCAGCTCAGGAGTGGGCGCTCCACTCACCCCGCACAAAAAGATGAAAAAACGCAAAGAGCTCAATGCGCTGATCGGCCTGGCTGGTGACAGTCGGAGAAAGAAGCCCAAGAAAGGCCCAAGCAGCCACCGCCTGCTTCGCACGGAACCCCCTGACTCAGAGTCGGAGACCAGCTCGGAGGAAGAAGAGGAGTTCGGAGCGATTGGAAATCGCTCGCGTTTTGTCAAGTGAGTGGAAGGGTGGTTGGTGAAGGCTGAGATGGGCAAAAGGCCTCCTACACTAAGCTGGGCAAATGGATGAGGAGAGGAGCGTCCTTGGGAAAGCGGTAAGGGAGAAAAGGTGTTGGAGAAGGCAAGTTCAAATCTAATGTCTCGCAAGATCTCCAAATCCAGGGTGGAAGTGTGAACTTGGGGAATGGGCCCTGTAGCCCAAGAAGGAGTAAAAGGTTACTAATGGACAGGGAAGAGAGGCCCTGGAGGTGAGGCACTTTTAAAAAGTAGGTCAAGGGATCTTAAGACCGATAATTATTTCGTATTTTCTTAATGAGTTTGATATTTATTGGTGATGGGAGAATATGGTGAGGGGCATACTGTAGACAGTGTGAACCTTGCAAGTATGGAGGGTGAGGGTACCAGAAAAACAAAAGGCAGTGTTTCCCCAAACCAACCACTAAACAGATGAGCTTTGAGGATTTGGGGCTTGTGAGACAGCTAAAGGAAACCCCAGTGTTTGGGCTCCTGTCAGAGACCAGACTGAAAGAAAAGGGGGTTCTGTTGGGATATGGAAACAAATGTTAGGCAGAGGGCCTGGGAGCCAAAAGGTTCTGGTCTTTTAGTGTGTTCAAATCTCTGTCTTTTTTCATAATCGCTGTGTCTTTTTGTTAAGACTTTGATTTCCTTACCTTTGTCAGAGAGTAGTTAAGGACTGTTGGGTTTGTGTTGTGTTGTGAAGGTCATCTGATACCCTGTGGGGTTAGTTTAGGCCTGAAGGCTAGGAGAAGTTTGGTGTGAAATCTAGCATGTTTCTATTTCTGTCTTCCTAAGGCAGCAGCCTAAAGAATATCAGGTATCCACTTAACCCAACAGGTCTTGTTTCCTTCCTTCCATTTGCTGTAAAATTTGGTCAAAAGTTTATGAAGTTTTAATAAATGAAACAAGGTGTCCTGGGGTAAATGTGCACGTATTCGAGAAAGAGATAGGCAAATTACAGTGCAAGAATAGAATTACATAGACACTCATTTTTACCCTTCTTTCCATCCTCTCTTTGTTTTGTTTTGTTTTCTCAAGGCAGGGTTTCTCAGTGTAATACGTGTAACAACCCTACAGTTCTGGCTGTCCTAGAACTAGCTCCATGGACCAGGCTGGCCTTGAACTCAGAGATCCACCTGCCTCTGCCTCCCAAGTGCTGGGATTAAAAGCATGCACCACCACCACCCAGCATCTTTCTTTTCCTTAGTACTAAGGACTGAACTAGGTTCTCATGTGTAGTAGAAAAGTACATTCTCTACCACCAAGCAAACTCCCCCCACAGTTTTATAAAGCAGGATTTTACTAACTTGCTCAAGCTCTCATAGAACGTGCAATCCTTCTACCTCAACCTCCCAGGCCTTTTCAGACTTTCCAGACTGAGTTCAATACCAAAGACCTCCCTCCAGAATTGACAGCCGTGATCCAGAGCCCACAGATACTTCCCATGAGCCATGGGAACTCCTTGTTCCCTGTGTGGTTTGAAACCTTTGTACCCAATAAGACTTTCCATAGGTCATATTATTCAGTCATTTTCAACCTCCTGCTATTAGATATGAATGTATCATCCTGTGTCCCCTGGTAAATCTCCCGGTTACTCGATAGAGAAGATAGTCACATGGCAACACATACTGCCGCCAGTAAAGCTGGTCTCACCACGGCGTTCTCGCTCACGCTGAATGTATTCTGGTGGCAGGGGAGACTACTTACGATGCTGCAAGATCTGCTATCCCCTCTGTGCTTTTGTCATCCTCGCGGCCTGTGTTGTGGCCTGTGTCGGCTTGGTGTGGATGCAGGTGGCTCTCAAGGAGGATCTGGATGCCCTCAAGGAAAAATTTAGAACAAGTAAGTGGCCAAGTGGTTTTCAAGTTTTAGCAAAAATTGGTCCATGCTGAGTGAGGAATTTGCCCATTCTGGGAGGCAATCACCCATTTTCTTCTATAGACTTCCTGAACTGTCAGCTCAACTGTAGTAACACTTATTTGTTTTTCAATCTGTGAACAAATTCCATGCTATGTGCCATCCAGAGTCTGAAATTACGACATTGTAGTCAACTCAGTGCAAAGAGGAAGAAGACCTGTAGACCAGGAGCCCAGAGCCTTGTTTAGACCCCACCTATAGCCTGAGCTCCCATTATGGTGCGGCTGATGAAACACTGAGCTGTTTCCTTCTACCTCACAGGACCTGTTGACTGAAATGTGGAAGCATCTGTCAGATGACTTCCTCTTTCGAAACACTGTGTAAGAACATGGGACTGGACAGCAGTCACTGTGAGAGCCACCATTTGTGGACTGTCTGCTTGTGCCAAGTCACAAGTGAACCATCCCCCTAAACAGTCCTCTGATGTGGGCATTGTTTTTGCATGCTATCTATCTATCTATCTATCTATCTATCTATCTATCTCCATACACATGCTGGTAAAGATGAGTATTATTGTTTGTGTTCTAAAAGGAAAAAAGAAAAAAATAGAAGCTGGGTAGGTAAGATGGCTCCACAGGTGTAGGCACTTGCTACTGAACCTAATCACCTGAGTTCAGTCTCAGGGATCATGTGTGCTGGAAGGAGAGCACTGACTCTTGCAAGTTGTCCTCTGACTTCCGCAGACACACTGGCATGTACTCATCCTCCCACCCACATACACACACTAAGTGAATGAATGAATGGCATGTACGCATCAACCCACCCACATATGCACACTAAGTGAATGAATGAATGAATGAATATGCAATAAAAAGTTAAAAAAAAATAACTGGGCATGGTGGTGCACACCTTTAATCCCAGAGCACTTGGGAGGCAGAGGCAGGCAGATCACTGTGAATTCAAGGCCAGCCTAGTCTACTAAAGAAGTTCCAGGATAGCCAAGGCTACACAGAAAAGCCCTGTCTTGGGAAAAAAAAAAAAAACAAACAAGCTTAGAACAATTAAGTAGCTTGTTTAGCAATTTAGTGTTTACCAGGTCCTCTTGCCCTTTATGCCCAAATCCATATGTATAGCCTGCTTACTACATTACTCTTCTGGGGCCTATGAAAGCTTCACGAATGTCAAAAAAGGGCCCACAAATCCCTTCTGTACAGCTTGGATCAGTAGTCTATGAAAAGTTCAGTAGATGTTGGAAAAGCTGATTGTGTGTGTGTGTGTGTGTGTGTGTGTGTGTGTGTGTGGTATTCAAGCACAAAGCAAAAACGAATAGTTAGCCAGTAGACTTCTTCCCATAGGATGCTTGTTTATGACATCTGTTACAAAGGGAAAAAACTTCAGATACCATGCATGTCACCTTTTTAAAGTTTTAGGAAACTCTTTTGATCCTTTGAAGTGCATTACACATTCACAAAAAAGTACAGTAATCATAACGGTCCTTACCTTGAGTACAACACAACTCATGAATGAGACATGTATTTGTCTCATGAATGAGGTTTTTGGTTAAGATACTTTTCACGTTAGAAAACGTCCTATGTTCTAATGATGAAGTCCAGTTTTATATATACAAACTGCTTTTTCTGTGTTTGCGGAGTGGTTTAAACCAGGTTTAACTTAACAAATTTTCTCCTTTTAACAACAGTCTGATTTTTGGTTCTAGATTTCAAGAGTTGATTTTCTAAGCTAAGGAACGAGTTTCAGCTTAATCACAGACCTCTGTAGTAATGGGGCGGCGGCGGGGCTGCGTCCCCAACACCCCAGCCGCCTGCCCGGCTAGCTTATGCCCCGAAATAATTACACGGACACTGTATTCTTTTAAACACTGCTTGGCCCATTCTCTTCTAGGCTAATTCTCACATATTAATTTAGCCCATTTCTAATCATCTGTATGTAGCACCCCAAGGTGCGCTTACCGGGGAGATTCTAGCCTATGTCCATCCTGGGTCGGAGCTTCATGGCGTGTGTCTGCCCAGGAGCGGGGCATGGCGTCTCTCTCAGGTGTCTGCTCTAGAGAGGAGCGCTGTGGAGACTCTGAGCTCACTTCCTCTTCCTCCCAGTATCCTGTTCTGTTTACTCCACCTATCTTCTAACCAATAAAATGGGCCAAGGCAGTTCCTTTATTAGCCAATGACCTTCCTCCATCAGACCTCAATAGCAGTAGGCACACCAGGAAACTGACCACAAGCTCCTCAAAGAACTCTGGCTCCAGAACCAGAATTTGAGCCCTTACTTTGCCTCCTAAGCCTGGGAAAGCCATATTAAGCCTAGAAATCACATCCTCCTGCTTTCCTTCACTCGGCTTCTCTTGACTGACAGCCATTTGAGCTTTGAACTTGACCTAGGGACAGTTACTCCTTGGAGTGTTATTGGTGTCTCTCATGATGATGCTTTTTTAAATGTTTTAATATCCACTTTGATTTCCTTCTGAATTTCTGGTTTAGGGATGCGATTGGCTAAGCCCACAATCCTTTGCCAGAATCATCCTGACCTATATGTACTTTGAATCATTCTGTAGAGTTTCTCAGTGTGTTTTATTGTTTTTGCAATATCGCAGATATTTTTATGCCTGTATTTTCTTTGTATGTAAATAATAATCATAACTTGGAAACCGTGTTGAACTGTCCGTGACACTGACAAACCTTTCTGCCCCGTCAGTTCTCAATGATTAGTTGACCTAGGCTTGTGCCACACCTTGCTTTGATCACACAGTGATTATGTGTTTACATTTCATACATTGCTCAGCTCTGCCCTCTGGAGATTCCTTTCTGCAGCTATTCTGTATTTACAGGAAACCAAGGTAACTTATACCTTAGCTGGGCTTGCCATGGATCTCTTTGTTTGTAAAATGTGAGACATAGAGTAGACCTGATAGTCACTTAAATATTTGCCAAGCATTTGTTAGTGCTAGCCCCTAAAAATAGTGCTTTCAGGTGATGTGACTCCATATGCCTGGACTGTTGGGGGTCAGCTTCCTATCATTGAGGAAGATTTTCCTGGAGCCCAAACTGCATATAGTAGCCAGCCGAGTAAAGCAGTAAAACTGGAATTGTCAATCCAGTTGTTTTGTTGGCTTTGATTTGCCACAGTGGAAATGCCAGTAGTCAGTGAGATTGTTTAGTGGGTAAGGGTGCTTACCACCAAGCCTGATGACCTGAGTTCATTCTCTGGTGGTGGAAGGAGAGAACTGCTCTCGTGAGGTACACTCTTACCTCCACATGCATGCTATGGCACAAGAACACCACCACCACAAGCACACACAAGAATGAGAAGGAAAGATAAACAAGGACTTCCAGAAGTAGGGAAGACTGGGGTCTGGCATAGTCTGCCATAAGCTGGACTGCTATGGGCTGATTCCTCGCTAGGTGTGTATGTGTGCGTGTGTTTTATTTCTTTTGTTTTTGGTTTTGGTTTTTTAAGACAGGTTTTCTCTGTATAACAGCCCACACTGTCCTGGAGCTCACTCTGTAGACCAGGCTGCCTTGAACTCCAGAGATGCACCTGCCTCTGCCTTCTGAGTGCCTGGATTAAAGGTCTGCGCCACCACTGCCCAACTGCTCACTAGTTTGTTTGCTTGTTTGTTTGTTTGTTTGTTTTAAAGAAAGAACAGTTATTTTAACTAGATAGACTAATTCTACTACATTGAATAATTATATTTTTAAAAGTATGCTTCTACTTTAAACACATCTCAGTAAGTTTTTTTTCTTCTTAATTCAACAAAACAGTGGAGCTCACTGACTCAGATAAGACCAGCTGTTTGCTTAACTTTACTGCCTTTTGAGAAATCAGAGCCCCTTGTTTTTTATCCAAGGAAGCTGCAAAGAGCAGGAGTGTTGAGAAAGTACCTGAACAGAAAGCAAAGCAGATGGCTTGCTTACCTTTTCTTTGCTGTCAAGGAATAGCTTGATCCTGGAGTCCTTGAAACACGTTTTTTCTTTAAGCCATGCATTTTTAATGTGTGAATATTTTACCTGCATGTGTCTGCATACCACACATGCAGTGCATAGAGGCCAGAAGACTGTCAGATCCCCCAGAGCCAGAGTTACAGGCTGTTGTGAGCTTGCTTGTAACTGAACAGAATGCAGGTCTTCTGGAAGAGCAGCCAGTGCTTTTAACCACTAAACTATCTCCCCAGCCCCTGGCCTTGAAACTTAATTCAGTATTCCTTTTTCCAGAAAGAGTTATTTCAAAAGACTTCCACAGTTATTCAAAGCAAAATTCTATCTCCAGTGCTTCCTCTTTGTCAGTGATGAAACATGAGAGAAAAGGAAAAGAACTTGGAAGAGAAGGAAAGTACCTGTATATCAGGCATATCCTCTTTTTTGGATCGTGCAGGGAAAGTAGTGACTCGATCTTTTGTACAACATGTTAGATGCATTTGTGTGACTAGAGGCACAAAGATGTGCCCCCGACATCTTGAGCATACCAAAAGAGGATTGGTCCTGTGAGCGCGTGGTTTGACTGCTTCTCGTTACTCACTGTAAAATTACAACACTGTAAATTAAATTAAATCACTGTCTATCTGAGCCTATATTTTCTTACCTGTGACACACAGATATATTTCTGCCACCAAAGCACTTTGGTCATTACTCTGTGATCATATCTGTCAACATTTATAGTAATCCTCCCTTCACCTCTAGACTGAGAACTTTGAAGTCTTTTGTATTAGACAGTGGCAAGCACAGAGCTGGCACACAGTGGAGGCTCAGTAACATGTCATTTGATGATAATTAACATAAAAGTTTATTGCAAATTATAAGGGTATTGTATGAATACAAAACATTACTATCGACATTGTCTATGTTGTGTTTGAAGAGTATATCTAGAAATTTCCATTTCCTAATCATGAAAAAATGAAAAAATAAGAACTATTTTTTCTTTTTTTCTTTTGAGATTCTTTTGAGATTCCACATATTAAATTTTAAATGAGTTGCTTTCCATGGTGAAAGAACATGAATAAGTAATCACGAGTTGTTTGTTTGCCATGCTTCCATTTATGTAACAGAAGTGCCTAACTTGGCCTGTCTCTCCTAAAAAGCCCACGTCAGATAATGATTATGAGCCCCTCTTGGCTCATAGACTCCTCAGGATCCAAGACTCGAGCTTGGCAGCTTTATGTGTTCATTAGCTGATAGTTGTAACTCGGATTATTTATGTCTTTGCCTTACTTCTTCCACCTCTAAATTCTATTTATTGCATAGAGACTTTAGGAAAGAGAGACTCTCCCTCCTGAGCATGGAAGGCATTTGTGGGATGGGCTCTTCTTTACAACCCAGCGGAAACTGGATAAGCAATTCAGTGACACAGAGCTGCATTAGTTAGAATGAGCAATGAAACATTCTTACCGCCCGAGATGGATATGTTCTGCAAACGTGTAAATCAAATGCCACACTAAAAGCACTTAGGGAAGTCTGTTATTTAGAATGCAGTCCTTTGGCAGCTACTTCTAAAAAATAAATGAAAATACCTAATTTCATTATTCTGAGTTGTTCCACAGGGGGCTTGCTTAAAGGGAAGGGATGTGACCACTGTCCTCAGTTTCCGTGGGGTTGTGTTGCTAAGTGTGCTTGATGTCTTGGTGTTTTACTTTGTGAGTTTTCTTTGTTGGACTGAACAGGGGGGTAGAGAACTGAGAAATGTGGTTGGCAGGCCAGCAAAGACCAGGCTAATTTAGGTAACAGGTGCTTCCTGAGTGCCTAAGATGCTATTCTGAATGCACATACAGAACAGACTTCACAAGGCATGGAGCTCTCGTTTTAATGAATGATTTTATATTGGCCCTGTATCCAGTGTTTGGTTTTAAAATATATATATTGTAACTAATCAGGAAGTCTGTGACCTGAAGAAAAATGATGTAGGTTTTATTCTGGAGGAACAGCCATTATCAATATTTTATTTTCCATTAAGAGGAAAAATGCTTTTTAAAGAAAGACGAGAATGCACTTTTGCCTCTGCCTCAGGCTTCGAATCCCTTAACCACACAGGAGTTGCCGTTTCACGAGCCCTAATGTCCCCCTCCACGTCATCTAACGTGTTTGTCTTCCTTTCTTCTGGAGCTTTTGGGTTCGTTTATGAAAACACTGCTATTTATGAAAAAAATAAAAACCTTAGCTCTCATATCGGTATCTGAATACTACCTGACAGTCGGCCAGCTGAAAGTAGAAGAAAATAAACATTTAGAGATGTAGTTTCTAATGACCTTGAGCATCCACGGGTAGGAGTTGTAAGTTGTAATTGACTAATCTGGAAACTGATCAGACTTAACATTCATTTATCACCTACTGTATGCCTGTCCAGTTGTGTTAATGCTTTCCAGCCATTCTCACGTCCTTCTAACACTCTTGGAAAGGGGATCTTATACACTACTCCAGATAATTGAGCTCAAAAGAAATTGAGTAATTTACTCAAAATAATAATAAGTTGTAGAGTTGAAATCATCTAACCCTTTCTGCTCATGGTTTTGGTTATAGTTTTTGGACACCTGTCTTCGTTGTCCTTGTTGTTTTGTGGTCCTGGAGATAGAACCCAGTGCCTCGCACATGCCAAACAAGAGTTCTGTCATTGAGCCAAGTAACATAACTTAAGGTTTAGTATTACAAGTGTTAAAAATACACATTTATGCCAGGCGGTGGTGGCACACACCTTTAATCCCTGCACTCAGGAGGCAGAGGTAGGCGGATCTCTATGAGCTCGAGGCCAGCCTGGTCTACAGAGCAAGTTCCAGGACAGGTGCCAAAGCTACAGAGAAACCTTGTCTCAAAAAACCAAATAAATAAAATTAAACACACACACATGTATGTAAATAACAGCATAGCTCTGGCCTCCCTTTTCCTTTTTCCATTGTAGTTAGGTAACTGAGTTAAGTCATTATCATCTCAGAATTTGCATTTTGTGATCTCACTAATGCCTCTTCTTCCTGCCCTCTGATCCTTTTCTCTCTTCCATCTTGGGACCAGAGGGAATGTGATATTTATTTAAAATTGTTCTTATTTTGCTTTCAGTGGAATCTAATCAGAAAAGCTCATTCCAGGAAATCCCCAAACTTAATGAGGAACTTCTCAGCAAACAAAAACAACTTGAGAAGATTGAATCTGGGGAGCTGGGCTTGAGCAGAGTCTGGATCAACATCACAGAAATGAACAAACAGGTAGCAAAAGTGTGACTTTATTCCTGTGTAAGCTGTTATTGGCATTTAGTATAAATTTATAAATTCAGGTTTTGTCTTCTTAAATTCGAGTTTGCCTGTTGTGAGCAGAACATGTTAAAATAGTAATTATTTACCAAAATTTAAAATGCATTTACCAAGTATTTAAATGTTAATTCTTCTTACACATGCACGGAGTTCTACAGAGGTAGAGCATTACCGAGGGGGAGTTATAAGTACTTGAGCCAGTTTCTTCTACAGAGTAGTGTAGGTATCAAATAAGAAGTACCATCTAATTACCAGGGAAAGGGAATCACCTACTGTTAGTAGATGCATTTTGTTTCAGAGAGCTTACACACTTAGAGGTTTAGCACTGGCTTGTAACGTTGTAGGCGGGAAGTCAGATCTACAACAGCTCACAGTCAGCTAGACTAGCTTAGAAACACCCATAGAGTCGGGTAAATGCTTTGGCCAGACAAGCAAGTCTAGACAAACTTGCCTCAAAGTTGTGCATAGCTCGGTAGGCACTGTTCCAAAAGAAGGATTCTACCAGAGAATCAGTGTTTAGTCTAAGGATGCTGACCACGATTCTCACAGTTAGAGTTACTCCACTGGGGTCTTAGCCCCATTCTCAGGTCTGGGTTTTGGGTTGACTTGTCTATTGCTGTTTTAATTTGGCTTATTGTTATTGTTTTTAGTTTAGTTGGGAAAAAATATGGTCACTGAGAAGAAAACTCAAGTACCAAATGAGTGATAGACATGCAACATACTTAAAATTAGGGTTGTCATCTTTGTTGCGATTGAGAGAACAATCTTTTGAGGATGGAGTCCACAGAGTACTAGAATGAGCCAGTAGGAAGCCCTGCTAGAATAAAAGGACCTGTAAATATTTATCAAGTTACATCTTTCAGCCACATTTTGGGAGAAGGATAGTTAGTGTTGAAGACTGCCTTGAACCCACAGTAAGAATGTCTGCCTTGCCCAGTAAAAATGCATGACAAGATGCTGGGGTTTGAATGTGTCTTCCAGTTCACATGTCAAGTGTATATGGAAGTGGAGCCTTTCGTGAGTAATTAGCAATTACCTCTAAATGGTCCTAGAAGAAAAAGAGAAGCCCGTGCTATCTATCACACGTGTTTGTCCTTATCGCATGCACGTGAAGCTCCCCGCTGCTGTGCTGAAGCAAAAACACCCTCATCAGATGCAGTCACGTGTTCTTCATTGAGCTACACGAGCCCGTTTGTAAGTCGCCCGCTCTGGTATTTAACAGTGGCCACAGGAAGTAGACTAAGGCACCATTAGTAGCTAAAATGAAATGTTCTGAAAGCAGTGGCTCACCTGGAAAATGTTCAGTGCCTTATGGCATTGTACTTCCTGCTCATTCCTATTTGGGGGTTTTATTTTGGTTTTGGTTTTGAGATAGAGTTTCATTGTGTATACCGTGCTGACCTGAGTGCTAAGATTATAGGAGCCACTACCTCTGCCTCTATTTTATTTTATTTTTAATCACACAGGAAATAATCGATGGGTGGTAGCAACTGCTATTTACTAGTTATCATTTATTCTCAGCAGTTAAGAAAAGCAGATATTCGTTCCTTTCATACACAAAGACTAGAGTCAGCTGTGGCCCTGCACTCACACAGCACCTGCGCAGTATGGGCAGAGATGACGTCAGGTGAGAGAAGCCCTGAGGCTCTGAGAGAACGAACATTTCTCCTGGGCACTCTGTGGGTTCCACGTGGCAGAACAGAGTCAACCATCACAGACAAGGATGAGATTGCTTTGCATGGCGAGACCAACATCAGCTGTCTATTTCCCATCCCCTCCTCACACACTGGCGTTCTAGGACTGCTCAGGGAGAAAACCCATGCTTGGCTAGTGTAAGAAGCCCTAGGGCTTTGTGTGTGGAACTGGGGAAGGTCAGACTGAAATGCTTTGCAGGTGGGTAGCCCCATGCTTTGCAAGATGCTGGGTTGATTTATAAAAGCAACCTCGTGCAGAGGAGTCCTCTGCTAGCCTAGACCCAGAGGATGGATGCGGGTGGAGCAGAGTTGAAGGTTGTTTAGCCTAGCAGTCTGAGGGCTTTTCTAAAGTTACCGCTGTCCATCTGGTGCTCTAGTCAAATCAGCAGCATTTGTCCTGCGGCAAAGTAGGAATAAAAGTAAAAATAATATTCAGTCGTGTTTCTATAGCTAATGGTAATTGTCAATTCAGGTGCTTCTAGTGGCATTTTTAAACAATTGAAAGTTACTTAAACAACAAGAAAATCTATTCTTTCGCTTAACAAGAACTATTCCTAACACCACGTAAGTTGAGGTTAATTTGGACTGGGGAAAGAAGGCCATCTGGTTGGGAAAGTTAAAATCCAACTTTACCTTGAAAGTTTTTAATCTAGTACGTGAAACTTCATTTATACTTCTGTTTGATTCATGAAGCCTCTGATATCATGCCCACTCCTCCTGGCAGTATAAGGGCCTCCCATACTGTGGAGAACAAATGTTCACAGAGCTGCTTTTATGGAGTCGGACCTTTGGCTCCGTCTTAGTCTTCTCAGACTGCTCTAGCGAAATGCTTTAGACTAGGTAACTTATAAACAATAGGAACAATAGGAGGTTCAAGAGTCCAGGATCAGGGTGTCAGCAGATTTGGTCTCTAATGAAGGCTCATTGTCTGCTTCATGCATGGGGTCTTCTTGTTACATCTTCATTAGCAGAAGGGCAAAGAAGCATCACTGGGCTCTTCGTGAGGGTAGAGCCCTCCCCTATTGTACCTGGAGGGCCCCACCTCTTACTGCCCCCACCTTGGAGATTTTAAACATGAAACTATTAAGAGAGCAACAACATTCAGACTATAATAGGTTTAGAATCAAAAAAGATACAATTCCTTACCCCAGTGATCGTACAGACAATTAGAAGATAGGAAAGTAAACAGTTTGACACGAAGCATATGGTTCAAATGCTGAGGGCATACTTAAATGAATGTCCAACCCAGACTGGGATCAGCTTTCCCAGAAACACTAGGCTAAGCCCTGAAGGGAACAGTGGACCAGGTGGAGAAAGAGAGGCAGCTACACTCAGTAGGACAGAACAGCTGATCTTTATAATTTTATCTACATGTTAAAATCTATTTGTAACCTCAAAATCTGTAAGTATGAGGCTTTTTTGGTCATCCGCTGATGTATGCACAGCAGCAACAACTTTGAGCCACCCCCAGACACTGACAGCTGGAGGGGAGCAAGGCAGCGCCCTGCTTCCTTGTTCTGTTCTCGTGCTGTAAGCAGGTTGGGTTCTGTGGTATATTTCTTGTCACTTTTCACATCTTTGTGGCCTTTGTTGTTGATTTCACTGTAGGTAGGCTTCTTTTAGGCATCGCTTTCAGTGCTCTTAGCTGTGTGTTCAGTGTTAATAAGTCAGCAGTATCATTAATTAAGATGTTTAAACAGAAACACGTGTTAAACAAGGTTATGTATTATATTGATAAGTTACTAAAAACGTGACGGAGGAGCTCACAGGAACCAAGCCCCCACACCTAGAAACAGTGGCTTAGCATTCACTAACTCAGCATTGGCTGTAGCTTTTCAGAAGATAAGTACCCACTAACAAGAATGGGCTGCATTTATAAAGGGAGAGATAAGTGAAAAGACTGCGTATGGAGGAAATTTTAGTCCTTCCTTATAGCCCTAGTTGGGCACAGAAAGAAGCCAGAGATAACGTAAATCAACAAGCACTGTCGAGGACCTTAGGTGCCCTTCTTAGCTCCTGCTGCTCTCTTTTAAGCACTTGTGTACTGGTCGACTGCATATGCATCTAATTGCATTAGGAATTGTACTCTGTGAGGTAATTCAGACCCAGAAAGACAATTATCACATGTACTCACTCATAAGTGGTTTTTAAACATAAAGCAAAGAAAAGCAGTCCACAAATCACAATCCCAGAGAACTTAGACAACAATGAGGACCCTAAGAGAGACATACATAGATCTAATCTACATGGGAAGTAGAAAAAGACAAGATATCCTGAGTAAATTTGGAGCATGGGGACCTTGAGAGAGGGTTGAAAGGGAGGGGAGAGGCAGGGAGGGGAACAGAGAAAAACGTAGAGCTCAATAAAAATCAATAAAATAAAAAAAAAAGAAATTGTACTCTGTAGTCAGCCTCAGGCATAGTGATGAAAATATGGGTGCTGATGGTAATAACTGTTATACATTAAATGTTTTCTTTGTGCAGGCCACTCTGTTGGCTGTACTGCATGTATGAGCTCCTTTCTCTATGTCCTAAGTCACATGATGTAAAAAGTGTTAACCCCAGTTTGCAAATAAGAAAATTGAAACTTGCTGGATGCTCGTGATTCATGCCTTTGATCCCAGAACTCGGGAAGCAGAGGTAGGCACATCTCTGAGTTTGAGGTCAGCCTGGTCTACAGAGTGAGTTCCAGGACAGCCAGGGCTGTTTCACAGAGAGACTCTGTCTCAGGGTGGAGGTTAGTGGAAAGAAAACAAAAATTGAGATTCAAAAGAGGTAAAAGAGCTTACCCAAGGTCACAGCTGTGTAGCAGTCTAGCACTGCTCAGGGATGCAGCGGGTGCTCCAGAGCCTAGACCTACAGTGTTTGTGACGCAGAGAGACGACGACCTAACCTAGTCCTCCTGGGTTGGCTTTCATTAGTTCTCTAGTGTTAAGTGAAATGGCAGCTTCCAGCAGCCACACTGCCTTCTCTGAGACCATTATGTTCCTAGGATACTTGTGACTAGCTCTGCCGTAGCTTCAAGATGTTGGACAGAATAGTTTCTGCCCAGATCACCTAGAGCGCAGTGTGTTATCCCTTTGGGATCTGGCCAGTTGTCAGTGAAAGGAGTTTCTTCACTAGTATCTGAAAGATATTACATAGTAGGGCATGTAGAATAATTGTAAAACATACCTAGGAGAGTAGTCCCTTCCCTTCACATTTATACATAGTTGTCTCGTGTCGGTAGTAGTGTCTGCACCTCATATGTACTTGTAAAATGATCATAGCTTTGAATATGAATCAGCTTATGGGTTATATATCAAGTCTGTATGTGAATAAACGGAGACATGCGGCATGTGCTGTACTACGGCATTCTTTGTTCATGAATATATCTATACATCCGCTGGTTCAGATAAAGACTTGTGCACAAGTAATCTTCAGAATGGGTTTCTATAAATGAAGGCACTGAACAAAATATGTAAACATTTCAGGTTTTGAGGGCTATTCCTTCAGAACAATCCCTTTCCGGTTCACATTCCCATGAACGATGGACGAGAATGCCTGTTTGCTTGTGTTCTCTGACTACTCAGTATTGTCCATAGCTTCTTAAAGGAATGGCAAAAAAACAACAAAAAAATCCTTCCTGATGCAATTGCCACTCTATGAGGTTTATAGCTTTCTAAAAGTATTTCTCATGTGGGCTGAGGTGTCTCACCTTTTTGTTTTGGAATGGATAGAGTTAGCACATTAGTGAGTGATCCGTGTGTTTGAGAACTCTTAAAGAGGATGACATGTGTAAGCACTCAATTTCCCTCCTAAAGAAATGCCGCTGGCTTGATCATTTGTGTCAGGTAGCTGTACCGAGCACTAGTCACGTGTCATTTAACTCTTGTGACCTATATTGATCATCTGTTGCTGGGTTACATTTAATCCTCAAACTTAGTGGCCTAACACAGTAACCCTTCATTATCTCAGTCTCTGTGTGTCAGGAATTGTGAAGCAGCTTAGCAGAATGTTCTGGCTGAATCCCTAGGGTTGCAGCTAAGGTGTCAGCACAAAGCAAATGCCAAGAACTTGTTGAAGGAATGAAAAGGAATCTGGCCCTGCTGTGACATCCTCTGGTGCCACCACTGCTTGGCCTGTCACAAGTACCCAGAAAGTTGGGTGTTTATGAAGCTGCTCTTTGTTACAGTTATTGGTAGACCTTTATTCTCATCCTAAAATTTAGAATAAGAAAGCAGTCTGGCACCAAGACTCTTTTGAAGAGTGTTTGAGTCACACTGCAGGACTTACTAGAATGTGAACTCAGAGCCTGAAATTGCATGTTTCACAGGTTCCCCCAGACCCCATTCAGATAGGAGTCCAGATACTTAAATCCTACCAGTAGAAAGGAAGCCACATTTTATTTTGATTCAATTCCTGTTTTAATACATTCATTGCATCTTTCAGTGAGTCAGTGGGTATTTATTGAGCTCCTTCAGGGTACAAAGTAATGCTTTGGTTGAGCTATTGAGTTTGAAATATTAATCACATTATTAAACCAAAACCAAGTCCCTGAGTAGTTGAAAGTGCTATTCAAGTTGTCAGGATACAGTTCCTGTGGACTATATTTTGTGATGATGGGCTTTTACTTTATAATATATGTTCCCACTCGGACAGGAACAAAAGTTCAGTTAAATAGGTGTTCTCTTTTACCAAAGTGAAGTTTTGAAGTGGTCCTTGATCATCAGTTTTTTCCTGTTCAATTCTTGAAGGATTGTATGGTAATCACCGCCTCTTTTGAGTTATTTAAGAGTTTGGGCCCTGTAGCTGCTAGGACCAAGGTAAAGAATGGCACATGGCTCTGCCTCTTGCTTCCTGATTTTCAGCTCTTCCCAAAGCACTATAGTTCCTCTGCTCCCGAGAGCTGACAGGGACCTTGACATTGTGAGCATAGAGCTTGTGAAGGAAGCGCATACTCTACAAATTCTGTTTTCTTTGTTTATTAATCCTTTTCAGATTTCTCTGTTGAGTTCTGCGGTAAACCACCTGAAAGCCAATGTCAAGTCGGCTGCAGACTTACTTAGCCTGCCTAGCACTGTAGAGGGACTTCAGAAGGTAAGTGCTATGTTTGGACACTACCTAATGCTGGAATTAAGAGTTCACTTTGAAAACCTGGCATTTGACATCAGCTGCTCCAAAAGAGCAGTGTGAAGTATGCCATTGTGTCCTGTGGGGTTCAAATCAGCTTTGCTAGTTGGGACTTTAATTTTCAACAGGTTACTTTATGGTTTCTACAGTTTATCACCCTTTGTCTGTGTGTGTTCTCGAGTTGCTCTGCTGGAACCACCATGTAGCAGGTAGCAGTTTGCTTTTCAGTTTGTCGTTACACTGTCTTCAGGAGCCCCGACCAGTCATGGATGAGAGTTGCTCTAAACACCAACTTTTCCGTGATTGGGAAGGAGTTGAGTTGTTTGTTTTGTTTTGCTGTTTAAAGATGATCTAGGATGAACTGCAGAAGTTAGAAATTGAGGAGCAGTTATGTGACAAAGGGCACTTTTAAACACTGGTGGGGATAATTTGAGAAAAAAATACTTTGGAAACAGTTTGGTATTATTTTCTAAAGATGTCTGTAGACATCCTAAACAGTCACTTGTATGTACACTGTAGACTCAGTGCCTGTGCAAACAGCAGTTGATAATTTCTGTCTGTTTAAGAGCCCTGGTGTGTAGTTAACAGCAGACAAGTGGGATCCAGAAGGATGAGACTCAGGAATGCCTGGAGCTGAATGGGAAGAGTGGGGAGAGGTTGGAAGGGAGAACATGGTTTCCAATTGAACACAAGAGCGTCCCACCATAACAAAAAACGAAAGAAGGGTTTTAGAAATAAGAGCCCTTGAGCTGTGGACTCTTTTAAATCTAGGGTCCTTGGCTTTTTAAAAAGTAGCCTGTGATGTTTGATTCAATCATATGCCAGACTCGGTCCATAAATACCTAGATTGTTACACGGGGTGAAAAATTGCTAAACCACAAACAGAAATAAGACTTGATGTTTTGCAGCCGCAGCACTGTGTGCTCAGTCCCTGTAATTTGCTACTCATTAGTATGGCCATCTGTTCTCAACATTTAAATTAAAAAGATTGAGGCAACTTTAATGAAGCAGATTCTTGCCATCGTTCCCAAGGACCGAGAAGGAAAAAGCAGGCCTCTGTAGTCTTACAGAAGCAACTTGGCAGACTTACATCAGAAAAGGAAACTGGCTTGTTCTTGCTCTCGTTAATTCAATAAACACTTGTGGAGCTTTCTCCAGTGTGTACCAGGCACTTTGCAGTTGGTAGGAATACTAGTTTCAGAGTTTCATTCTAGGATTTACGTGATCTGTCAGCTGCTTTCCTAAAAAACAACCCCCGAACAAGAGCTCACTATCTTCCTGTGTCCTGACAGGCCCAGCCAGCCAGTGAGGATTCTCTAACAGTAGGTGTCTTTGAGTGTCTGGCAGCTTTTTGCAACAACAGTGTTTATGTAGCATAGTAACTTAGAGACAACCCCAAATGTTATCTCTTTGCAAATCCTGCTGGGTTCTGCTTTTATTTTAAACTATATTTCAGTTTCGAAATTGTAGTTTATCTCCAAAACCTAGCTAGCAAAAAACAAAACAACAAAACAATAACAACAAAAACCTAGCTAGCTTTCATTTATGCTATGTGATTTTTTTTAAATATTGAAAATGTTACCAACTCCTATTTCCTTGAATTCTTGTTTCAGTGTAATTTTAAAATGTTACTTTGGGCGGGACGGTGTTGGCGCACTCCTTTAATCCCAGCACTCGGGAGGCAGAGGCAGGCAGATCTCTGTGAGTTCGAGACCAGCCTGGTCTACAAGAGCTGGTTCCAGGACAGGCTCCAAAACCACAGAGAAACCCTGTCTCAAAAAACAAAAATAAAAAAAAAAATTGTTACCTTGGAGACTGGGGATGCAGCTCTGTTGGGTAAGTGCTTGCCTAGCATGCACAAAGCCCTAGATTTGATCCTCAGTACCTCATAAAACCAGTTGTGGTGATACAGGCCTATAATCCCAGCATGTGGAAGGTAGAGGCAGGAAGATCATAAGTTCAAAGTCATCCTTTGCTATATGGCAAGCCTGGGCTATATGAGACCACCTCAAAACAATACAATAACTTTCGTTAAAAGTACTGTTGTCACATTGTAAATCGTCAGTATGTCTTAATAAAAGGATAAAACCCACCAAATAATAACATTCTTTTGGATTTTTTTAAAAAGTAACTCATGGCAACTGAAGAGATAGATCATCAGTTAAGAGCACATACCGCTCTTGCCAAGGCCCACAGTTTGCTTCGTGTACCTCTAGCTCCAGAGGATGCAATAACATCTTTTGACCTCCATGGGCACTTGCGTTCACATGCACATACCTACACATACACTCATACAAATGGGCATAATTTCTTAATTTATTTTAAAGATGACTTCTGAACCATGCCCTCTGCATACTTGGGTTCTTTAGGACTAATATGAGCAAAATAAGTGTTTGGTCAAAAGCATCACCCCAGCTTCCTAACACCCCTTTATACAGAGTCTGGAATATTATAGTTGGAAACCTCATCCCAGCCCCTGGCACCCATCTTTGGAATACTGGGCAGGAACTCCATTTCAAGCCCCTCCCGTGAGAGTTGCCTTAGTCCAAACTCCACCTCCAAGAAAGCCTGCCAAAGGGTGACTCCTCCCCAGGGAAGGTCAAGACCACTCCCACAGGCTACTTAAACTGCCCCCCAGAGATGAACACATGGTCTCCAGGTTTTGTGTGGTCTGCCCTTCTCTCTCTTCCTCTGCCATGCTTTCCTGGTGCCACCCGGGAGCGCTGCATTAAACATGGGCATTTTTATTTGGTCTGATTGGAATTATTTGCGTCGACAGAGAGGCTCATCTTAAGAAATATTCTTAACACTAAGTCGTTGCCTAACTACAGTCATTGCTGACAAAATTCTACTGCCAGGTGGGTTTCCTAGAGCCAAAAAAAATCATACCACCCAATTTTGCTCAAAAGTCATCGCTTAATGCTTGTGACTGTTGACAGTCAACAGCCTTGACTGGTTATCTGCTTGCCTGCAGGGTGTTTATCATACATAGTTTAGGGGTAGGCATATTGTCTGTGAGTCCCAGATTATTGTTTTAGTGTTCCTTTTCCAGTATTTGACTGTTATAAATACTTTTTTAGGAAAATGTATTTTATTTAGGGAAGATTGTGGATTTTCTTAATTGAGAAAATGGCTTGATTTTTATATATGGGAAACTATTCATAGAAAGAACGAATGTGTCTGTCTTTGCTAATTGTTTCAGTATAAATTACATGGAATTCATAGTTTGACTATAGTTGAAAGAACTAAAATACTGATTTATATTTAATTAGTGCTTTAGTGCAAACTAAAATCATAGCATACCACTACACTGCCATTAGAATGGAAAATTTTTTAAATTAACATCACCTGTATTTGTGGATGTATGGAGCAGTGGGGACCCTTTTAAACCATTAATGAGACTGTAAAATGACACAACCATTTTAAAAGATAGTTTGTAAGTTAAGACAGATCTGCACAGCTGTGGATCTGTGTATTGTGACAACGAGAAAGTATAAAAGGAGATGAGGGCACAAGTCTGCATGTAGACTTCCACATGAATGTTTATCACAGCTTTATTTGTAATAGTCGAATCCTGAAAATAGCTAAACATCCATTGATTGGTTAATAAACAAGTTGATAAAAACCATACAATGGCATGTAACATGCTGAGCAGCTTAGACATAAATGAATCTCAGTTGCACTTAGTAAAAGAAGACAAACTAAAAAAAAGCTTTTTAAAGTATATATTTATTTATGTAAAGTTCTAGAAAATACAAACTGATATATAGTAACAGAAAGTGAATAAATGGTTGTCTTGGGAAGTTACATAGAGGCATGAAGAAATTGAGGTTGGGTAATGTCTATTGCTTCTATTATGGAAATAGTTTCACAGATTTATTATGCATTTTGAATATGTGAATGTATTGCATGTCTGTTATACTTACTAGTAAAGCTCTTAAAAGGGAAAACTGATATTCCTACATTTCTTTTTCTATTCAGAGCGTAGCTTCCATTGGCAATACTTTAAACAGTGTCCATCTGGCTGTGGAGGCGATACAGAAAACTGTGGATGAACACAAGAAAACCTTGGAATCACTGCAGAGCAGTATGGTAAGATCTGTTAACATGAGAGAAAGGCAGCATGCGCCTGCTCACCGTTTCCTGTGTCAGAGTCATGATCCCAATGAACTAAGCAGATCCTATTCTGCCTGCTTTAAAAAAACAAAAACAAAACAAAACAAAAACTCTCCAACAAGCAATGTGTACTCACTGGTCTGCCATCTGTACGTCAAACCGTGAAGGTAAATAGGATTGAAAACTAGGTCTTTGGTAAATATGGTAACTGAGAACCTCTGTGACCCATGGTAATAAAGACATAACTCACCATTTCCTTTATCTTGCAGGTGCTCTCAAGTAATGACCCATTTCGTAAAATACTTTTTCCTAATTGTATACCTTCTGCTTCCTAGAACCATGGGTGTTACATCTTTTTCTTTTTAATTTTACCTTCAATTTGTATGAAAGCAAGGTTAATAAATACCTAGGAGTTCAGATTTTAAGGAACACTGTTTTGCCAATTACATCGTTGTAATTGGATCAGCATCTTTTAACTTCCCATGACTGCCAATAGTGATCTTCCTACTAGCACACTGTACTAAACCATAGTTGTGGGCTGCAAAAGAATCAGCTTTATAGTTTTCCCCCAGTAAAGGGTGAAAATATATCTAAGCATGTTATACTTAAGTGTCTGCAAAGAGAGACGAGAGCAGCAGGGATTAGAGGGACAAGTCAACCTCTGACACAGACATCAGCGTGTGTTAAAGGAAAGCAGTTGTGTGCACATTCACTGGCTGTGCTACAGGTAATGGGGAGAGGAGAGAGGAGTTTCAAAAGAATTCATCCCAGTAGGAAACTGAGAGGCATACTAGGAGGAGCTCAGGTTCCTGGAGTAATCTGGGTGCTGCTATCCAGCCTCTGCTTCAGGCTGAACACTCTCAGAAGTCCATGATAGCCATGACACCTTTCATATGGCTCATAATATAAGCTTTGGGGAACTACTGTAGATTAATCCATGGCTACATCCTAGGGAGGCAAGACTGTTCGGGGACCATCTAAGATGGTTAAGTAACCTAGTAGTTAATTGTTGCCTATGTACTAACTTTCATTTGTGTTAACATTTCTTAAAGGAGACTAATGGAAGCAACCAAATCATGCCATCATCTTCAGCTACATCAGAACTTGACAATAAAACCCACAGTGAAAGTTCAAAACAGGTACTTTTGCTTGGGTGGGCTATAGAGGCAGTTTGAGGAATGTGGGCTTAGCATACAGTGCCCCAGCAGGTGCCTCATACATCACCCTCCTGTCTGAGAACTGAGCAGAAAAGACATATGCAAATAGCAATCTAGGCAAAATCCAAAGTGATGGCTGGTTTGAGCCTTAGAAAACTCTGGTAAGAATGTTGAGAAACATATCCTTGAAACTGGTGTTTTCTGAAGTCTAAAGGGAAAAGGCTGGAGAGGAAGAGGCAGGGATACTGGGTTCAGAATCACATTAAAGAAAATAAAGGAAAGCTTCTCTAAGAAGAATTTCTGTCCTGAGTTTAATGCCCTTCAAAACCTATAGTCATCATTCCTTTTTAAGTAGCAATCAGTACTAGACGATGTCAATAAAAATAATTGAATCTTGTACTAAATAATGCACTACTTGCTGTGCTTTTGTTACATGAGCCAATTCAGTAATTGGTATTGTTCCTAAGGTAGTTTTGTTCTGACCAATTAAGTTAATGGGACTTCAGTTAATAACCCAATATGCTCTCCTGCCAGCAAGTGAGGTAAACATCAGGAAATTAATTCCCAAACTCGCCGCTTTGAGGGATTGGACTGGGAGTTTGCAGTCACTTCTCTTCTTCCCCTTCCTGCCTAGCTGAGGCCAAGCAATGCAAGAGAGGGCGAACTGTTGATAGAAGAAAGAGCAAAGCAGTTTCAGGCAGTTCCGCAGCCAGGAAAAGTTCCTTACTCCTTGATGCAAATAACGGTTGCTGCATTGCTCCTGTCCTGCTTGTCTAGCTGCAGTATCTGGGATCCCAAATTTGTTTATTTCCACCCTAGGATATCCTGTACCTTCAAAACTCCTTAGAAGAGATCAACAGTACTGTAGTGGGACACCAGAGACAGAGTGACCTTAAATTCGAGGGGATGAACGAGACACTCAGTAGCCTGACACAGAGACTCAGCCTGGTAGAAAGTGATGTGGTTGCACTGAGCAAGGCAGAAAAAAGAGCAAACCTGACCTCCAGTATGGTAAGCCTTTTCAGATCTGCTGTGGCATGCTCTGTGTTGGTGTGTATTGTCTGTACATAGATGATATCCCCCTCCTTGTGTGAGCAGGGTCTGGCATACTTAAGAGGCTATGCATTTGTTCTGTGCTTATGTCTGCTTAAATCCATATAATAGCTCTCTGAAGTGCACAGGACATGTGTGTCTGAAAGGGGTGAGATCGAGGGTCAGTGTAATCATTCAACTTACTACAACTTGTTGGCAGGAATGAAGTCTTTTACAATGTTGCCAATGGCCCATCAGGTAGGGAAACTTGATGTTTTTCCAAAGGAAGTCTTTTTCCTTCCTTCCCTTTCCTTTCTTTTCTCTTCTCTTCAGGTGTTAGAAGTAGTAAAAGTGGTAGATATAACAATCTTGTGCCATTTTTTTTAACCTTGAACTTGGCTTTCAGATTCATCCTGCTCCTGTCTGCATATTAGAGGAAACCTTTTGCATATAATATTAGGAAAATCATTTAAAACAGATGAATTTGCTTCTATAAACAAACCCTAATGAAACCAATTGGGTCACACAGGAAAGACATGAGAGGAAAGGGGAATTAGATGGGAGGAGGAGATTAGCAGGCGTGGGAGGAACACAGAAGGGCTAATGGGGGAGTGGATGGAGGTGATGCTGATAAATATATTATGTATATGGGTAAAAATAGAATGAAACCCATCATGATGTAGAACTAATATTTGCTAATTAAAACATTTTTTAAGAGGTGAAGTCAGGCCAGGTGGTGGTGGTGCACACTTGCTGGCTCTGAGGGTCACTGCTTTTCATACTCATGAAAAGAGTGTGTTTGTTTTTCATCTGTATGTGATTCATGTGGATCGTTTCGTTAACAGAGATAGGTCTCACTTTTAAAAGTACAATAGAGCAAAGACATGATACTTTTTTTTGATGGAAACCAAATACAGAAAACTGTAGTGTAAATTCAAGTAACCGCCAAAGCTGGAAGCTAACCCACATGTAAAGTCGAGCCCTGGCACATGGTAAGGAATGCTTGAGCTGGCTCTGCCACAGCGAGCTTTGGCAAGCTGCCCGAGTATGGCTTTGAAAGGTGGGGTAGGGAGACCTGTCCCCCTCCGCCTAGCCAGCCTGCTTTACAAGAGTGTGTAATTTACTACAAAGCTGTGAAGATTAAAGGAGTCCTAGTTCTTAAAGCCCTTTTGAACTCAGCTAAGCTAAGTAGGAGCTGAGAACTTTGAATGATTTGATGAATAATGTGCCTTGCAGGGTTTTCAAGGCTTACTGTGAGAACTTATCACCCCAACCCCCTTCTTATTTTTAATCCAGCAAAGATAGTTGGTAATAGTAGCCATCTGTCCTGCTATTTCTTCCAATAGCATCAGACCAAGCCTGGATCTGGGTAGAAGTTCTGTTGCCTTTTATACTTCAGTTTTAAAGTTTGTGACTAAAATGTTTGGAAGCCTCTATTTCCGCTCTGTCTTCTTGTGCCCGTCTTCATTTTCTTCTGTTCTCCTACTCCTTTGCCATCTGCGTTTAAAGTGGTTCCGATCCTTTCAATAAACTTGACCAATTTGTTTAAGAAGTGTTAAGTGTCAGGGTTGGAGAGATGGCTCAGTTGATAAAGTGCCTGCCATACAAGCATGAAGGCCTGAGTTCAGACCCCCAGCACCCACATAAAAGCTGGCACAGTGGCATGAATCTGAAACCCATTAGTTCTGGAGGGAACAGAGACAGACAGATTCCTAGAGCTCATTGGCCAGCTACCCTACTCAAAATGGCAAGCTCTAGGTTCAGTGACTGATGATTATCAGCCTCTGCCTATGCACACACACGCGTGCATGCACATATTCATATGAACACATATGTACACCATACAAACACACAAAAGTATTTTATGTCATTCAAGTTTTAATGTTTCTCCTTAACCTTTTCTTCTCTTTTCGTTACCCTCTAAGATGAGTAATAGGGCTGCCACTCTGAAAAGAAAGTCTTTGGTGAGCAACAGAATTGATTCTGTAAAGGCCCAAAGCATAACAGTAAACAGGAAGCTCCCATAAAGTAAAACAAATGCATCAGAATCTGTAAGCTGTTCCCTCTAAGAGGAGCATTTGATCTCCTGTGATAAATTCCAGGGCAGAGCGGTTAGTACATTGGGATATTAGTGAGTGAATGAATAGGACATCAGGCACCTACCTTGTGCTCAGCACTTTACTGGGAGCTGGGATGGCCACAGTGAGTAAGGCAGATATGTGGCCCCTTTTGTGGGACAGCCCACAAAACTGAACAGATTCTTAATCACAAGTCAGGTAAGCGTAGGGATCAGGTGGGCTTTCCTAAGGAAACGGCTTTTAAGCTAAGACAGTTATTATCCTAGTCTGCTTTATTACTGTGACCATGGTTGAAAACAACACGGGAGGAAGGTGTATTACATCATATGGATTACAGTCCATTATCAAGGGAAGCCAAAGCAAGAGCTTGAAGCAGAAACTGCGGAGGAACACCACTTCCTGGCTTGTTTCCTCTGGCTTGCTCAGCTCCTTTTCTATACAGTTCAGGCCCACCTGCCTAGGGATTTCACCACCTTCAATAGGTTGGGCTCTCCTTCCTCAATTAGCAATTAAGAAAATGCCCTGTATAATGTTCACAGGCCAGTCTAACGGAGGCAGTTCCTCAGCTGAGGTTCCCTCTTCCCAGGAAACTCTAGTTTCTATCTACTTGACAAAAATTTATTAGCACAGTTATCTAAACCAATGGTAAGGGACAGAGGCATAGATAATCTAAAAATGGTGTCCAGCTTAAAACTCATTTCACATTTAGATTGCATTCTCAACACTTTCGTGGGCCTTTTAAGACCTGCTGAGATGAAGGGAAAGCAGGAAGAGTGACAGTGTCTACAGCGTCATCTGAGGTGCACACAGTGTTTGAGTTCAGAGGATAGGAAGTTCATAGGAGATGAACTTGGCTGGTCATGTTATGGAAGCTTTTGATGGAAAGCTTTCTATCTACTTTTTCATCCTTAGTGATTTTAGCTAGCAGTTTTATCCTTGGCAATTATCTAGATAAAGTTGTGTATATTTAAGATTTTGATGCATGGGTTTTTGTTAAGTTTTTAAACTGTTTCTATGCATTTTTCAAACCTCACTTAGAGAATGACAAGAAGATTGTAAGAGCCATATTTAAAGGTTAAACACACACACAAAATAACAGATGGTTACTATTAGAAATTAGTAGTGATTTCCATAGTAAGTCACACTTTAACAGTCAGGTCAGAACACAGTACTGCATTTCTGCCTAAATCTCTCGGCTTTACTTTTAGATCCTTTGCGTCTGATAACTTCATGCTATTTGGTCAGTCTCTTCATATTAGTTCATCAAAGCATTTAGCATCTAGTTTCATTCATATGTCCATATTGTATCTCCCTAAATAAACTAAGTGTCCACTGCACAGTAGTTAGTGGGGTAGGAGTAAAGATAGGGATGTGTAAACTCAAGGTGTAGATGGAGACTGCTAGCTCATTTCCTGACTGCTCAGATCCAAATAATCACACAGAAACTATGTTAATTACAACACTACTTGGCCTATTAGCCCTGGCTTCTTATTAATTAACTCTTACATCTTAAATCAACCCATTTATTAATCTATGTATCACCCCGAGGCTGTAGCCTACCAGTAAGGTTCTAGCATCTGTCTCCTTCAGCAGCTATATGGTGTCTCCATGACTCCTCCTACTCTTTGTATATGTATTTCTGTTCAGATTTCTGCCTAGCTTGCTCTACTAAACCATTGGCCAAAACAGCTTTATTCATCAACTAATAAAAGCAACATATACAGAAGGACATCCCACATCGTCTCCCCTTTTCTATCTAAATAAAAAGGAAGGTTTTAACTTTAACATAGTAAAATTACATATAACAAAACAGGTATCAAGCATGAATTACAGTTATAATATTTAGTGCATATACATTTGTCAAATTAAGGAAAATAATATCCTATCTTTGTAAGTCTAAAGTTTCATATCTAATTTATCTTTTATCATAACTAAGGAAAACTATAATTATAACTATCTATTTTTCAACTCCATCAAAGACCCTAGAAGGGTATAATATTACCTAAGTAAACAGGAAGTGCATTGTAAGCAACTTCCAAAGTTCTAGAATTGGCAGAGACATCTTGCTGCCTGGGTGGTCACTCAATTTTTTCAACCTACAGGCCCATAGTACTTGGCAAACTTTTTTCATGAAGCAGGAAATTTGAAAGGCTGTTTTGCCTATCTTGGCAGTTCATCAGTCACTTTCTTCTGTATTCTGCAGAAGAGTGTCTAGCAGTTTCTTCTGTGAGTCTGGAACCCTGAAGGATCATCCCATCTTTTGTAATGTTTAGCAGTCACTTTTCTTTGGGTCCTGCATGTCCAGTTCATACAGCATGCCATAAATAAGTCCAGGCAAGAGCAGTTTCTTACCCAAATGGCTAGCCTTGTCACATTGAAGACAAATTCCATAATGAGTTTTTTCAATGCCTATCAACCTCTCTGAAGTAATTGGTGCTGCCAGAAGCAGACATGTCTCACTGTTGAAAAAAAGTCTAAATTCTTAAAACATTTTAAATGCCATATTATATAGGTATTTGAAAGATATGAAGAATGCCTATCCATTTGAAATATGTCTCTGTACATCCAGAAAACCTGACTAACATGACTACCATTTTGATTATTACAGATAACTATCTATTATTCTGTATTTTTAAATATACATTTTAAATGAGCTACATAAACAGAATACCTTAAACAAGAGCAAAAATACATAAACACAGTGTAACAAAATCAACCTTAAATTTGTATCAATAGACAAGATCCATACCAATGCAAAGTATTCATCTCTATATCTCCCCACTTTTTTTTTAGATATTGACTCTGAACATTAATCACTTATAATCAACCCCCTTTAAATGAAAACAAACATTTATAAACAGTAATTTTGGGAATTTGGGAGTTGTTCTCTCCAAACTGCTTCCTGTTCTTTGTTGGGAGAAGTATTTTTAGGGTTCATGGAGACCTGTCAGGAGGGTCTTGTTCCATCAAACCACATTAGTTTGGATGGAATCCACAGGTTCCCATCCTTTGTAGAAACAAAAGCAGAGCCTCTTTTCCAAAGCAACATATTCTTCAGACTCAAATTTCCAAGTCAAGATACTTTTAAAATATATATGTTGGTTTAATTTAGCAGCCCCCACAATCATATAACTTTCTGCAGCCAAAAATTCAAAGAAAATACAATAATATGCATAATCCAGACTATATATTCCATCTTAATGTGGCTTATTTTTTTTATTCCTTTAATCTATGACTGTCTGTACTCTTTTTATATTACTTTTGCTGTCACTGTAAAGACTTTGTTTTATTTTTTAAAACTATTTACTTTTTTTTATAACTGTCTATATAATATACTTTTTCCTCTCTCTCTCAAACCTACGTACATTTTTTAAACACACGGTGTCTCATTTAGAGGTCTTTTATGTCTGAATTTGTCCTGTTATGTATCTGAAATCCTTTTCTGACAAGTAACATTTTAAAATGGTAAGCAGTGTGATCACGGCAGTCCTGGATGCTGGTTCTGCCTCTCTTGGCCTTTTAATATGGTGGAAGTACGTTCACTGCCTCTTCCTGCAAGCTTTGCTCATTGCCCCAGCTCCAGGGACGCAGCATGTCTATGTTATCATTAAGCAGGTTGTAGCATGATGCTTACAACCCCCATTTAAATGCAGGACCTCATTATGGAGCCAGAGTTCATGCTAAGAGTGGGAAGCCGTGCAGTTTTTACTGCGAATGCTGAGTCAGGAAGCCTTCTCTTAGAGGAGCTGCGCCTCTGCTTGCTGCCAGCAAACAGAGCCTATCTGAAAAAATTGCGGCTACCAAGAAGCTGTGCTTAACTCTGTTCTTTTGTGTCTAGAATTTCCATCCCAAGCTCTCTCAGCTTTTATGTGGATGTAGTTGCCTCACAGTTGGCATGCAATTTATAGGCAGAGACTACTCACTTGTTTCCCAATAGTCACACAGAAAGTATATTAATTACAACACTGCTTGGCCTATTAGCTTAGGCTTCTATTAAATAACTCTTACTTCTTAAATTAACCCATTTTTACTAATCTGTGTATCATCAGCATTAGGTTGTGGCTTACTGGTAAGGATGCAGTGTCTATCTCCTTCAGCAGCTACATGGCGTCTCTTTGGCTCCGCCTACTTTCTCTCTATATCTCTGTTCGGATTTCCCACCTGACTTTGCTCTGCTTAGCCATTGGCCAAAACAGCTTTATTCATCAACCAATAAAAGCAACACGTGTACAGAAGGACATCCCACATCATGATTTCCGTAGTAAGTCACAACAGTCAGGTCAGGATACAGTGTACAGAAGGACATCCCACATCATGATTTCCATAGTAAGTCACAACAGTCAGGTCAGGATACAGTGTACAGAAGGACATCCCACATCATGATTTCCGTAATAAGTCACAACAGTCAGGTCAGGATACAGTGTACAGAAGGACATCCCACATCATGATTTCCATAGTAAGTCACACTTTGTCAGGTCAGGACACACTGCATTTCTGCCTAAATCTCTCCGCTTTACTTTTAGATCCTTTGTGTCTTATGCCAGTTGATCAATCTCTTCATGTTAGTTCATCAAAGCATCCTAGCCAGACTCATTTTCTCCTGGCAGTAAGCATTTAGCATCTAGTTTCATTCATATGCCCCTATTGTATCTCCCTAAATAAGCTAAGTATCCACTGCACAGCAGCTAGTAAGGTAGGAGTAAAGATAGGAAAGGGATATGTGAGAAATGGGATGCAGTGGTACTCCTAAACAGAGGACCAGGCCTTTTCATGCAGTAAGCAGACACTAGCCACAGGAAAAGCAGGCTTCTCTCTTTGCAATTAATCTATTTTTTTATATGCCATTCTAGAAATAGCTGGAAAGAAGGCAAACTCGAGTAACAGTTAAATTAGAACTATCCCAACTCCTTTTTCTTGTCTCTGACAGTTCCTGCCACCAGCTGGATCTTTACAGTAGGGGCGTTGGCTGGATCCTGTAAAAGCTTGTGGTTTGACTGAGTTCCTCTGCCTTTTTTTTTTTTAAGTTTTCTTCAGATGACATGGTCATAAGGTGATATCTGAGGCCATTTTTTAGTTAGTGTAAAATAGCTCCAGGAAACAGTGTCCCCCATCATCTAGGAAGCAGGTGCAGCATAGGCACCTGAGAAAGGGCACATTTTCTTTACTGAAAGAAGAAAATCTTTCTTTTCTGCTGACACGTGCATGCCTTCCCCTATCAATGGGATGTTCATGGTGAAACAGATCGTGGAGAACATAATGTGTCCTTAATGGTCTAGCATAAATCCAGCTACACACTCATCAGTGCTGCCCCAAAGACAGCCCAGTAGTTGCCCGTCCATTATTGACTTTAGAGGGACCCTGGTAAAGGCCAGACTCTCCATGCAAAATGTGTTCTGGGAATACAGCGGAGTCTCCAGGTAGGAGTCACTTCTACCTTAAACCTCTCTGATCTTTGTTTTGGGCAGAAAGAAGATAATTCAAATTCTCAGGTGTCCAAGCTGCGAGAAAAACTGCAGCTGATCAGTGCTCTCACAAACAAACCTGGAAGCAACAGGCCTCCAGAGACCGCAGAGGAAGGTGAGCAGCCAGCTGGCTTCTGAATATTTCACGCAGGCTTGGGCAGCCTGCCTGCCTCCCGCACAGGGAGTAGGGACGGTGTCCGCCAGCACTGATGAAAGCGAGTGAGTGATGCCTGAGCGCACAGAGATGAGGCTGATGCACTTCACTTTCATTTAGCAAAAGCCCATTTTGTACTTGATTTGTACTCCAGTCTATTAAGGGGAGAACTGGTAATGTTTAGCTGGAAATAGACTTCTCCATGCTGTCTGCATCCAATTATAGGCAAAAATGTTACTGTCATAGCTTATATTAAACCAGCCCTAAATGTTATGTTTCTGTTATTGTGAGTGCATTAAAATTTACTTAAAAATAAATATTAGTCCTCCTAAAAGTCATTAACATGTAATGATGGAATTATTCCATTTGTAGGCCACTTGGCTGTAGGTAAGGACACAATCAATATTATCAGATGCATTAATTAACCATCTACTGATTTAGGCCCTGTGAGGATAGAACACGGTATTAGACAGTATTGGCTTTAAACTCCCTGCCTCAAGCATTCTTCAGCTTTGGAGACGTAGGATAGATTCCCTAGGATTCTCTCCTGTGAGAAACAGAAGTACATTGAAGGCCTTCCCCTAACATTATCTTATGGTAACATGGCTCAGTCCCCTAGATCAGACTTAACAGCCTGTTTCCCAAGAAGTCAAAAGACTTATCCAACTAAAGTCTTAGCATCTAGCTTAAATGATGGCAGCTGTACTATAGCTTGAGTATTCCTTATCCAATAATATCCTCATTATTACTTATGAGGCCTAAAGTATTATCAATTTGGGGTTCTTTCCTTTTTGGAGGGTATTAGCAGGTTTTCTTTGAGTTAGTATTCAAGTCTAAATACACAAATCTTTGATGCTCAGCAGTGGTGGTGCACACCTTTATTCCCAGTACTCGAGAAACAGAGGCAAGCAGATCTCTGTTAGTTCTGGTTTATAGAGTGAGTTCCAGGACAGCCAAGGCTACCCAGAAAAACCATCTTGAAAAAAAATCATTCATATTTCATATATGCATTATCCATATACATGTGGCCTGGTGTTAATTTTATTTGTATTTTTAGGTCACCTTTAATTGACTGTGACCATCACATGAAGTCGTGTGGAATTTCCCGCCTGTGTCTGTACTCTGAAAGCTTTGAATTTGGGGGCATTTCAGATTAGGGCTACGCAACCTGTGCACGGGTTCTGTTTCAGACCTTAATGTAATACTGATTCCTCCTGACTTGTCCACAAACGTCCCTCAGTCTTTAACTCTCAGCTACTCTCAAGTTGGATATGTGTACTCTTGTCCTAAAAGGTGGTCTTCAATACTAGTTTAATTTGGTGTTAGAATTGATTATAATAAAAGTGTGTATGTTTGTTACAGAGCAAGTACAGAACTTCACATCAGATCCATCAACGCTGCCAAAATTTTCACACGTTCTTGGAGATCAAATTGAGACCCAGCTAAAACCTATCTCCCTACCAGGGATTTCTAGCATCAAAGGTAACGTTAATGATGGAAATGTTCAACACTGTAACTGTTATAGCTTTTTAATGGTTTCTTGTTTAAAAACAAAAGCCTATCTAATGGACTGGAGAGATGGCTCAGAGAGTGGTAAAGACTGAGTTCAGTCCCCAGAACTCGTGTAAAAAAAACAAAAAACAGGTGTGGTGGCACACACTCTTCCGATTCCAGCACTGGGGATGTGGAGAAAGCGGATCCTAGGGGGCTCAATGTCCGGCCAGCCTAACCTACTTGTTGAGTTCCAAGCTAGTGAGAAATACTTTCTCAAAAACAAAAATGGTGAACAGGGATCAGAGAGATGGCTCAGTGGGTAACAGCATTTGTAGCCTGGTGACCTAAGTGCAAGCCCCAGAACCAACTAAGGTGGAGCAGAGAGATGGCTCCGGAGTTGTCCTCTGATCTTCACACGTGACATGTGTACACCCGCACATAATACCACACAGGAACACATTACACACATTTTACAGCCCACATTATTGGGCCAGCTACAGAAATCTGATCAGTAGATGATTGCTTGAGACAGAATTCAAACTGAGGCTGTCTCCAAAGCCTCCATAGTGTCTTTCAGTGTGTTTTAAGGTGTTCAGTCAAAGAATGGGGATACACTGTAAGATACAGTCTGAACCAGACACAGTGGCACACATCTCTAATCCCAGCACTCAGGGGTCTGAGGCACAAAGATAAAGAAATTGAGGCCAGCCTGTGCTATATAGTAAGAGTGTGTCTCCAAAGAAAGTCTTTTCTTTGCTCGTGGATATGTTGTCTAATGCAGAGAACAGAAAAAAGCCAAAACCATTCTGTGAGATTAGCAAAACAAGTCAGAGTTGACTGTTTTCACGACCCTCAAGGAAGGCAATGAGCAAAATAAATACCCATAAAATGCTGAGTTTCACAGGATGACGTTTGCCTCGTTCCAGTAAGGCCTTCTACTCTTCATTATAAGGTTGAGGCCTCCTGCGGTTCTTGGGCCGGCTGGAAATCACCCAGTTCTGGTCACATACTTCCACTGGCTCTTCACTTTACCTTAGATGCCCTGTGCATTGTGTCCCAGGTCTGGGGTAGGCACTTCCTATACATTATGATTTGTTTTGTTTGTTCCTACTTTGCATATGCTACTCTATTGAAATTCCCTGGGAAGAAACAAAATTTAGCTTCCATGAGTAAAGTATCTGTCCTCTTCACTCCCTAACCTGCAGGTCAGAGCCTGGTAGACATGATTGTGTGACTGAATGAATGAGTTGCTTACGTGCTGCAATTCATTAACGCTTAAATGCTCTTCTTTTCCCCTGCCTCTGGTTTTCCTTTGTCTTCTGGCGAGTAAGGGCAGTCATTGTATTTACTCTCTTTTAAAAAGAATTTCTGGGGCTGAGAGATGACTCAGTGGTTAAGAGCACTGGCTGCTCTTCTGGAAGACGAGGGTTCAATTCCCAGCACCCACATGGTAACTCACAACTGTCTGTAACTCCAGTTCCAGAGGATCTTACACCTTCACACCAGTGCACATACAATAAAGTTAAATAAGTCATTTTTTGTTCTGTGTTTTGTGAGATTCTCTGTATAATAGCCCTTGCTATCCTGGAACTCACTCTGTAGATCAGGCTGGCTGCCTCTGCCTTCCAATTGCTGGGATTAAAGGAGTGTGACACCACACCACACTACACGAATAAGTTATTTTCTTTAAAAAGAAAGAAAAAGACTTTCCATGTACTGTTGGGCACTGGGAGGAAGTATCCCATCTGCTCTTCGGCTCCAGGAGCCTCTGAGGCCTCACCAGCTGCACTGCTGGCCTGTGGCAGCAGTGAGAGGGCCTGTCGGAAGTTTGTAGGAAATCCTCGGTGGAGCAGGTCTCGCACAGAAACTGCTCCTCCTCCCTTTGGCACATTTTCATTCCTCCCCAGTACCACATGGCAAGAGGCCTGTGGGGTCCAAGTGTGATCTTGAATAACTAATGGAAAATATTCAGGAAGGCTTTTAAAGAAACACAGCCCAGAAACCTTCACTTCTTCAGTATTATGAAGTAAGCATAAGAACTCAATCGAGTCCTTTTTCTTTTTTACTTCTAAATTTTTCCATTATTTATTTTTACACAATTCTTAATGGTGTGTACTCTCTCCAAGTCCAGAGGCATAAGATCTTCCTGGCGCTGGAGCTGCAGGCATTTGTGAGCCACCCAACAAGGATGCTGCAAACTGAACTCTGGTCCTCTGGAAGAGTAGTACACTCCCGACCACTGAGCAATCCCTCTAAACCCCTTTTGGATTTTTTGTTGGTTTACTTTATTTATTTATTTATTTATTTATTTATTTATTTTTGGTTTTGTCTGTCTGTTTTGGGACAGAGTCTCATGTAGCCCAGGTTGACCTCAACACTCTATATACCTAAGGTTGGTCTTGAACTCTGGGTTACAGCATACACTATCACACCTGGCTCAGATCCTTTGTAAATGTTAAAGGCTTTTGTTGGAAACTGATACCTTAGTTATTTTTTTAAACACAAATTGACTAGTGGCATCAACCAACAAAAAATAAATACAGAGACAGGCAGAGAGTCCTGTGGTTCTTTTTTAAACTGTATCATCTGTGGGCCTTAGTAATTCTCGAGGCTATTTAGCCGTCACCACTGTCTAATACCATAGCGTTTCCATCACCCCAGAATGAAGCCTCACACTCAGCTCTTCCTCCCGAGCCCTGCCAGATGCTTCAATACTTAGCATCAATTCTGGCCATTTAAGTTGGATCCGCATGGTGGGGAAAAGAAAACCCACTTCCACGAGTTGTCCTCTGCTCTCCATGTGTGCTTTGCCATGTATACGTATACATATACACACATACAAATAGTAAATCAATAAGTAAGAGAAATATTTAAATTGTTCTCCAGTTACCACATTCTGGTTCCTAGCAAGCACTGTCTCTTTGGATTTATGTATTTGGGTTGTTTCATTCGTAGACGTGGAATCATACATGGCCTCGTGTTATGCCCCTTTCATCAGAGCGCTCTTTTCATGTTGTGGCGTGAAGCAGTACTTCCTATGACTGAGTAATAGTCCATTATGGTGTATGCACGTGTGGTTCATCTGTCCAGATAGTTGAGCTGTTTCCACTTTTGTGCAATTACTAATGCTGCTGTGAACATGAGTGCATAGATTTTATAGAAACATGTTTTTCTCCTGACTCAGTGCCTAGGAATAAAATTGCTAGGTCATATAATTCTTTATTTTGTTTTCATTAAATTGATGTTTTATTCATAGGTATAATTTTAAATTTTATCATACAATTTGTCAATTAAAACACATATTTAACATTTTCATCATAAATAATACTTTTAAGTACAAATGTATATGATATAATGTCCTCCAGCATGCTACAAATGTCTAAACACCAGTGACTCCTAGAGTTTGGACTTACTCATAAGAGTGGCCAGTAGAAACAGATGTCTTAAAGAATAATCTAAGAGAAAAGCAGGGAATTCATTAAACGAAGTAAGTTCTATATGAACAAGGTATAGACAGTCTGCCTCCTGATCATTCCCACAGTCACCTGCTCAGCTGCTCTGATGAGTTGTCTGTCCTCAGGTGTCTGTGAGGAACACAGTGACTTATCATTGCCTTTACACAGCAATCACATTCAAAAGCAAACCTCTTCATTTTGAGTCAAGAAATGACTGTTTTCAGGTCAAAACTCCCGTGCTGATCAGTAGTGGGATCGCACCTGTGAATAGCCACTGCACTCCAGCCTGGGCAACATAGCGAGACCCCGTCTCTTAAAAAAATAAAAAATTAAAAAAAAGAAATGACTGTTTTCTATAGAAAATGTGTTCTATAGAATAATGTATCAGCCAGAATGATTGTTTAAATGTTGACTTGTCCTAATTAACCATTCTGGTTTTTTGTTTGTTTTAGTTTTTATTGTTTTTATTGAGCTATATATTTTTCTCTACTCTCCTCCCTACTTCTCCCCTCCCTTTCTGCCCTCTTCCATTATCCCCATGGTCCCAGTTTATTCAGGAGATCTTGTCTTTTTCTACGTCCCATGTAGTTTAGATCTGTGTATGTCTCTTTTAGGGTTCCCTTTGTTGTCTAGGTTCTCTGGGATTGCATTGACTCTATAGATTGCTTTTTGTAAGATTGTTATTTTTACTATGTTAATTCTACCTACCCAAGAGCATGGGAGATCTTTCCACTTTGTGGTATCTTCTTCAACTTCTTTCTTTAAAGATTTAAAGTTCTCATCATACAGGTCTTCCACTTGTTTAGTTAGAGTTACTCCTAGATATTTTATGCTATTAGTAGCTATTGTGAAGGGTGATGTTTCTCTGATTTCTTTCTCAGCCCATTTATCATCTGTGTACAGGAGGGCTACTGATTTTTTTTTTTTAGTTAATCTTGTATCCTGCTACATTACTGAAGGTGTTTATGAGTTGTAGAAGTTCCTTGATAGAATTTTTGGGGTCGCTTATGTAAACTATCATATTATCAGCAAATAGTGAGAGTTTGACTTCTTCTTTTCCAATTTGTATCCCCTTGATCTCCTTTTGTTTTTTTTTTTTTAACTCTAGCTAGAACTTCAAGTACTATATTGAATAGATTTGGAGAGAGTGAATAAACAAACTATGTCTTGTTCCTGATTTCAGTGGGATCGCTGGGAGTTTCTCTCCACCTAGTTTGATGTTGGCTGTTGGCTTGCTGTATATCGTCATTATTATGTTTAGGTGTGTCCCTTGTATCTCTGCTCTCTCCAAGTCTTTTATCATGAAGGGATGTTGTATTTTGTCAAAGGCTTTTTCAGCATCTAGGTCACATAATTCTTGAACTGCCAAACCATTGTTGGAAATGTGTCTACCAGTAGCCATGTATAATGAATCAATCCGCTTTCCCTACGTTTCTTGATGGCGGCTGTGCTAGTGGTCATAAAGCAGTTTGTGATCTTGAGTCCCTCCTTTTTTTAATTTCTTTTATTTTTGGATTATAATTACATCAACTCCTCCCTTTCTTTCCTTCCTCCAAAACCTCCCATATTTCCCTCCTTGTTCTCTTTCAACTTTATGGCCTCTTTTTTTCATTAATTGTTGCATGCATGTGTGTGGGTGTGTTTCTAAATATAACCTGCTCAGTCTGTATAATGTTACTCATATGTGTGTGTTTTCAGGAGTGACCATTTGGTCTAAAATAACCAATTGGTATGCTCGGCCCTGGAAAGTTTATTTCTCCTTCTCTTTGCACTCCCTGGTTGCCTGGAGTTCTTTTGTATGGTTGAAGCTTCATGGGCTTTCCCCATCCACTTTGGCATGTCTATTGTTGTTATCCTGTTCAGTTCATATTTAAGCATGTTTATTGGTAATACTTTATAAAGCCGGGCGGTGGTTCACACCTTTAATCCCAGAACTCAGGAGGCAGAGGCAGGCGGATCTCTGTGAGTTCGAGGCCAGCCTGGTTTACAACAGCTAGTTCCAGGACAGGTTCCAAGGTTCCAAAGCTACAGAGAAACCCTGTCTCGAAAAACCAGAAGAAAAAAAAAAAAAAAGGCTTTATGGGTGTGTCTTCTGCAGTGTTCCCTGAGCCTTAGATATGGGAGTTGTTTTGTACCCACTGGGACTGGGCTCCGCAACTCTGCATTTTTATTGGTTGTAGTTTTCACTAATGTTTTCTGCTTGTTGCCAAGAGAACTATCCTTGATAAAAGAAATTTCTACTACCCTTACCTGTAGATATAAGGACAAACATTTTTAGAGTATTGTTAGGAATTATGCTGGTTAGAGTTTCTCCTCCAAAGTCCATGATTTTACTAGGCCTAGGTAGTTGACTAAGTTTCCAATACTAGGCATAATTTCCCTCCTAACTTAAGCAGGTATTATTAAGTCGAGTTAGAGAGCTGATGATTACTGCCAAGGTATCCATGCCACTACTGCGCTCTTGAGGTTCTTGTGCCGTGCTGGTCATCATTGTGTTTCGTAGGCATCATAGCAGGGTAGCACTCTTGGTTGCTTCCTTCCTTTGGAAGCTTAATTGGCACCTCTGGTACCAAAAAAGCAAATCCTTAGGAAGGAGGCTTTTGGGTCAGTTCCACCTCAAGGGCCTCTGGAGTCTGCACCTGAAGTGCACAGTGTTTTCAGCAATGTGGACTACCACCGTCCACCTCTGGTGGGGGAGGGCAACCAAGGGCAGTGGCAGTAGCCCGTATGTTTTGGGGAGTCCTTGAACAAAACCGACCAACCAAAAGAGAACTTCTTATGCCTGATGTTGAGGTTTTTCTGGGTGGTCTTTGGCTTTTGGAGAGAGCATTATCAGCCCAGATGAGAAAATTTCATTCAAACTATATATGTATATTTACACAAGACATATGTATATTTTAGGGTTTGTTTAGGTAAGTAGTTAATAGTATGTATGATTCCTTTTGACTTTTTCAGATATCCTTACCAATTTTATCCTCCTCCCTCCTGTGTTTATTTCCCTCTCAAGTCCCTGATTCTTGATTTACTCAATTTCTGGATCCAGAAAGACAATGCTACATAGTAGAAAGAGCCCTACTAGGTAATATGAAAATTTGTGCCCAACCATATTTGATACACTTCAGTGTTTTTCAAAGTTGGTTGATCTTTGTATTTTATAATCAGCAGTACTGAGAATGCAGCTCACATAAATATGTAGTACAATATAGCAAAAGTATCTTTAGGACCATTTCAGAAATTGGAAACTCAAGTCAGCAACTCAAATAGCAATTTTAAAAATCAAACATTCTAACACAACACAATCAAAAGATGTACTGATTTTATACATGCTAAAGAATAATGGCAAGAAAACATTAAAAGCCTTTGTTTTCTACAAACCATTATGTTTCTATAAGAAGAGAAAACTTGGTTATATACAATAAAAACACTGCAGTTCACAGCATACAATAGTCTCAAATCCAAAGCAAAGTGCAGCATTTGGTGGTGTGTGGCACAAGGGCACATGCAGTGCAAAGTGTACACGTTATGTGTCAGTTGTGACCTGCAGACTAACACAGCACATCCACACAAAGTGTACACGTTATGTGTCAGTTGTGACCTGCAGACTAACACAGCACATCCACACAAAGTGTACACGTTATGTGTCAGTTGTGACCTGCAGACTAACACAGCACATCCACACAAAGTGTACACGTTATGTGTCAGTTGTGACCTGCAGACTAACACAGCACATCCACACAAAGTGTACACGTTATGTGTCAGTACAATTGTGTCCTGCAGACTAACACTCCCCAAAACACCTCAGACTTATTAAGCATATGACTCTTATTTAACATTTGGTCACTAAATGTTTAAAAATCATTTATTGTTGCCAAACCCAGAGCTGGTCGGTAGTGCCAGTCTCCATAACCAGCTTGCTCTGGGGATCCTGTCACCATTTTTCGAGGCTGGAATACAGAAAGGCCATCATGCCCTCGTAGCACTTGACTCTGATCCATCTCTCCAGCCCCAAAGAACATTTTTTGAAGCAAAGTTGGGAGAACTGTTTTGTTTTGTAGGGGAAAGGTTTGTTTGTACGGTGATAAGATCTCACCATGTAGCTTTGGCTGGCCTGGAACTTACTATGTAGGCTATTCTCAAGTCCAAAGAGATCTGCCTGCCTCTACCCACCCACTCCCAAATGCTACCATTAAATGTATTTGACACCACACCTGGCAAAGTAGCTTTTCTTTTAATGCTTTGGAGATAGCTGAAGCTGCTTTTAACTGTGTGCACAAACATCTAATGTCTGCTTTTTAATTCCTATTTAACAGACCTTCAGGATTTATTCCACAAGGCTGGTCAAGATACGGTGGATGGGATGTTGACCTATCAAGAAATCTGGAATTCCCTAGGTTCTGGCATGCCAAGACCAGAGAGCTTGAGAGCCTTTGATTCCAATGGAGATGGGAGATACTCCTTCCAAGAGCTAAGAGCAGCTTTAGGTATCTAGTATTGACAGACATATTTTGAAATGGATGTGTACCCTGGACTACCTAAAATCTACTTACCTAAAAGAAAAAACCTCTTGACTTATCCATCAGCCTTCCAGCCCTTCACACTATTGTAGCAGACACATTGCCACCTTTTAACTTGTTTGAAAATGCTATTTAAAAAAGTTATTTTTTTAAAAAAATTTACTTATGATGTTTGGAAATCTATGATTTCCTGAAGCCAGAAATATCTTGTAACTTAAAAGTTGCCAGGAGAAAAATAATAAAGCCCTCTATCTCTTTCCTGTTTTTGAGGGGAAGAGACTTTATCTTTTAAAGTTGGAAAGTGTATATATAGAGATAATAAGTCACTGTTTATATTTCATATGAATCTGCCTTAAATTAGCTGCACTTTATGGAGCCTCAGAATATGTCTTTTCTTTGAAAGATGAGTCTTTTCTGTTTATAAATACACAAAATGAAAGATTGTGCATATTGTATAGAGAGTCGGAAGAAGGGCTTTGAACCGGATGAACAATGATTTGTGTGTGATTGACAGTCTGCTCTGGGTGGTGGCTGAAACTGTTCACATCTCTTTCAGGTAACCCTCAAAGGCCTTGGTGCCAACATCGGGTTTGTTTGGTCAGGGAGCTGGGGCATCAGTTCACTGAGTGGAAGCTGTGCAGAGGATGCCAGCTTCAGGTGCAGGAAAATCAGATTCTAGGTCATTGCTCCTATTCCTAACATAAAAACCAGAGAAGTCTTGTTGAGATTTCCCTCATTTTTAATTATCTCTCAAGGTTTATGAGCATAAAGGTTATTCGGTGGGGAATTATGTTTTCCCCTCAAGCAAGCTAGATTTTGTCTTCTCTACCAACACACTCAAGACTACCTTAAAGTTGTAACTGCCTACCTGTGGCACCATCTCCAGTCTGGAAGGCAAAGGCTCATGTCCTTGGTCACTATATCAAATTAGTTGTCCAGAGCATTAGAGAACAGCTCTGAGTTTTGACTCGGGAAACAACACCCTCTGGAATTTTACCTCTGAGCTACCCAAGAACTTGCTTTATTTCTTGGCAGGACACTGAAAGGCAAATGCAGTCCAATGAAATGTGAAATCCCATGTTCTGCTCACGGTTGTCCACTCAGAAGCAGCTGTAGGTTTTCTGTCCAGAGGATGCCTCAGTGCCAAGCAGGCTTGGAGCAGGGGCCTCCTGGTGATGTTGGCAGTTTTTCCAGATCTAAAAAACAAGTACAATGCTTCCTCCTTTGCATACTTTGTGGGCAAGTCACGACAGGTCTGACTAGAAGGTCACCAATGTCACTATATGTTGAGAGCACTTCCAGTGTTGTTCTTAGGTGTCTCTCGGCACCATGAGAGGAAGACCACACAGAACCTCGCTTCACCGCAGCCAGTCAGGGAAACACTAGAGAAGCTGCAGTACTGCAGGCTTCTTTAGTACTGATCATTCCTGTGTAATTGTGTTCCAGTTGCCCTGTCAGCTGTGGATAGTCTAGTACCCTTAAACCTTTAAAGATGTTTGAGTTTGGTTTGGTCTGGTTTTGTATTTTATTTCCTTTACATGCTATTCATCTTGGTGTTGGCTTCTTTTCCCTAGACATATTAAAACTCAGTGAAGGCAAGATAAAGTTTTCCTGTGCATTTGTCTTCTTATCTCACGTTTCTTCCTCTTTAAAGTTTTTGCCTTAACGTTTGCCTTGCCCATCTATGCTGTCACTTTCTTGGAAAGGTTGAAAATACACTTCAACATTAACCTGGCACTTTAGTAACTCGAAGGTAACTCTTGCTCTTCTGGCTGCCTTGTGTACTCCCCTCTTTTTAATATATAGGTATATACCCTTACAGATTTTGTAATAACCAAATAAAGTTCTAGCAATAAATTGAATTATTCTGCTATATTTGTATATATTGTAACATAAATAGCATGTCTGTACCTGGAAGGTATTTTTTTTTGAGAACTGATTTATATGATATATACTGAGGGTAATGTAGCTTGTCCTTTTTAGTTTTAAGTTTTTATTTGTAGGCAGATACTTTCAAGACACCTTAACTCTTTGTGGTATATGCTTTCGGGGGGAAGCAGGGTTTGTTTCTTGGTCTTTCTTCTGTTCTTCTTCCTTCAAGCTTGTCTGCCAGCATTACCCCTGAGCCATGCATTGTCTCCTCCCCTACCCTACCAAGTTGGCCAGAGGTATCCATAACTGTCCTCTGCCTATGATAACTCATCCTGCCTGAGGCATTACCAGATCTCTTGGGTAGAGGTAGGCATCTTATCCTCCTTTGCTAAAAACTGGAGAGGCTCACTGGCTTCGGAGCCCCAGACACCTAGCACTCGGTGCAGACTGGGGTTTTCATTTGTATACTGTTAACTTGTGCATCGGTGCCTCGTGTTAGTCAGCCTTCACCAGCCACAGATCTCCTCTAGGAGAAGAACCAGATGGTGGCGGCGTTTAAATCCTGTGGCCTTGCCAATCAGCAGCTCTTGAGTGCTTACCACCTTAGTTTCTTCAAGCATTGCTCCCTGGCCCTTCGCTCCATTGCTGTGTACCATCCAGCATTATATTTGCTGAATAATCTTTCTCAAGCTATTCATGGTAGTACATGCCTGTAACTCCAGCCCTTGGGAGGCTGAGGCAGGAAAATGATGAGTTCTAGTCCAGTCTGGGTTACACAGTGAGATCTTGTCTCAAAAAAAGGACCTAGCTTAGAGATGACTGCAGTGGCATTTAAGGAGCAGAACAATGCTTGGCACTTGAGAATGAGTCTGATGCGAAAGAGCTAAGGAGTGGACAGTCGCATTTCACTGCTGGCTCTTTCCCCTTCCGGTGTAGCCTTCTCTTTGTCGTTTCTGGACACAGCCCTATCAGCCTCCCTCTCTGGTGCCTGCGGTCACAGTTGAAGATTTTGACTGTGATAGGCTCACACTCATAATGGCCTGTTGAGTTGTTTCTAGTGACAGCTTTTGTTTGCTGCACACCTCATTGGCTTGCTTACCAGCCATCGAGATGTGGTCCCTTCTCTCATAGTCAAGCCAGAATACATTTGGGTATTTCTGAGACTGGAGAGAGCATGTATTGTTTGTTATATGAACCTAACCTACCTTGTTGTTTTCTCATATTAAGAAATGTAAATCTACTTTATATTAATGGAGCTATTTTGGCAATGTATAAGCAATTTTGGTTCTGTTTAGGGAGTGGATTCAAGGTTTCCATGACTTCCTTTGAGCTTTACTGACTTCCTATCAGTATAGCCATTTTAATTTAAATAAAACATTTCCTTTCTCTCACTGTGTCTGACTAAAATCTTCCCTGCTTTCCTAATCCCGATTTTTGTGAACTGCTTTCTGCCTCCGCTTAAAATCAAAAGCTATTAGTATCACAAGACAGTATTCAAGACTCTGCCTTAGGAATTACCATGTTTTGTCAAGAAGGCTCCTGAGGCAAAAAAAAAAAAACCCTGCAAGAATTGTCTCTGCTGTTGGCTACCTGCCAGACCCCTTTGTGGGACCCGCCTGCAATACTCGTTTGCTGAAGACACCACATACTCTGTTCACGGGACAGAAATCAAGTTGGAATTGGACAGGAAGCTTCCTTCCTGATGGATAAGTAGCCCTCCTAATGCATGGAGGTCTCTCCAGGCTGCAGGAGAGAAAAGCCATCAGCAGTCAGCTGTGGATCCTGTGTACCATGCTACCGACTGCCAGGCAAGATGTGCCCATGTGACAACAGGGAATTCAGGACTAGTATCGTAAGCCCAACTAAAAGCCTCTGGCTGGGAACCACCCAAAGTGAGGGTTGAATGTCCATCCATAATTGAGACATATGTCCTCTCCAGGCTCAGGGCCCATTGTAGAAGGGGTAGACGGAATACACGAGCTGGAATAAATAGGGCAGGGGATAGAATACTAACATTGAACTTGATGTGGCTTTGTGCTCTCAGACCCACTGTAGTTGTGATCACCTACACAAGACAGGACCTGCCAACATCCGGTCATAGGTCAGGAAAGGAGCTCATGAGGCCCCACCCCTCCCTGAGGACTTAAATGCAGTTCATGGTTGTCCTGGATGGGACATTTATTTTTGTAAGTAATTAGTGTAGCCACTGGTAAGCAACCCTAATGAAATTCATTGTTGGGTTTTTCTTTGCCTTTTTTGTTTTTCAAAGAAGACATGAAAGGATTATAGTGTTTGACCTGAGTAGTGAAGGCTGCAGAGCTCAGGCTTTGGGCAGATTCAGGATGAGAGGGAGCGCAAGGTGGGGCAAGGACTGAGGCTGCACTGATGTCCATCCGAAGCTCCACGTGGACCTGTTTATGTTTTCAGATTCTATTTAAAGAACGTGGTTTTAAAAAAAAAAAAGTTCCATTGGATTGGAGGAAGTAAAAAAGAAAGATAAGGGCCTAAAACCCATTGCTAGAGAGTTTGTATAGACAGGACTGGGATTTTTATATACACAAAAAAAGTAAGTACATGTTTACCAAGTTCTGGGAAGCCTCTTCTCTCCCTTACCATACACACACAAAATCTGAGGACCTTCCACTCACCATTCACAAACACGGCTTTGGCTCATTTCCCTAGTGAAAGGGTGTCTGGGAATACATAGTTCAGTGATAGAGCTCTTGCCAGGCATCCACAAATCCATGTTCAATCCCCAGTGCTGGGGTCGGGGGGAGCAGGGGATGAAAAGGAGAAATTCCTGTTCTATGGCTGAGCCACTCCTAATCCTAGAACTGGTAGTGTTATAGGTAGTGTTAATCATCAGTCCTTTAAAGGTTGTTTGCAGAAGATAGTAACATTCCCATGTAACGGATCTTAACTTCTGAGGAGCCATGTTTATCTTTAGGAAAGATATAAATGGTGCTATAGAAGTGGCTTAGTGGTTAAGAGCGCTGGTTGGTTTTCCAGAGGACCCAGATTCAATTCCCAGCGCTCACATAGAGGTCCACAATTGTCTGTAACTCCAGTCCTAGGAGATCTAATGTCCTCTTCTAGCTTCCATGCGCACAGACATACATGAAGACAAAACATCCATACACATAAAATTAAAGAAAAATTTAAAGAAAGATATAAGCAATTAAGCCAAGTATGAGGATGCAAACCTGAAATCCAGCACTCAGAAGACTGAGGCAGGAGGAGCAGGAGTTTAAGGGTAGCCTACCTACGCAAGCCAGCCTGGAATATAGTGAGCCCCCATCTCAAAAAAAGAAGATGGGAGAAGAGGAGGAAAGAAAGGATAAGATACAAACTAGGTGTAATTCTAGAAGATGTGCTGACCAACCAGTCTGTCAATTAATGACAACCTCCACACACTAATGCTTTTAATCAGTGTTCTAACAAGACATGGCTAAGCAAATACACCGTGGGGTATGGTTGGTAGAATTACTAGGAAGTTAGATGCCAGAAAAATGTGAACTGGAGAGCTAGCCATGCAACAGTGAAGGCATATGCACGGAGAACCCGAGTCTGCATCTCCTGACAGGAGGATCTGAATTGCAGCTGGTTGGCACGGTGCTTGGGGATATTAGAAATACAGGACAAAGACAGCCAGCTAAGAATCAATACATGGCAAATAACAGTCCAGCTATACTGTCATGGCATTTGTTAGGCCTATGACGTAGCCAGCGTTGGTCACCACAGCCTCCAACAATGTCCTCTTATGGCCCCTGTGCTTCCCACCCTGCTGAGCAGTAGTGTCTGGAGGCCTGCCTAGGTCAGAGCCTAGCACTCGTTTGGGCTTGAGTACTGGCTGGAGGGATATTGAGTCCAGCCACAAGTAGTGGTTCAGCGTGTCTCCCAAATGCTAACCTTCATTCAGTTCCCGGAACATGCAACAGTGAAACTCGTGACCAGATTGATTTGCAAAGTGCTGTAGTCACATGCTAAAGACATTGTCCTTCTAGGAACTAATGAGACAGGGGAGAGACTTAAAACTTTTTTAAAAAAAGAATTTATTGATGTGATGTCCAGATGGCTCTAACCTCTTTGCCAATACCAACTCCTTGAGGTTATTTCTGCTTTCTACCAAAAAGGAGCCTTTGGTACCTGCAGCTCCCACCCTCAATGAGAAGAGACTACAGTTCTGAAGCAAAGGGCTTGGCATTAAAACAGTTTGTTCCATGGGCCAGTATGGGGAGGGAACAGAAATGAACTTTCTTCTCAGGGTAGTTGGTCAAAGGGTAGGAGACAGAGTGGTTCAGCATGGGAGGCAGGTTGTGGAGGGGCAGGGCAAAGGGCACCTCTTGAAAAATGGGTAATGGGATTGGGGAGTCAGTCCGAGGCTGTGGCATTGTTGAAGGCTGGGGCTGCTTTGGAACCACCAAAGCATGTTGCAAGGGACCAGCGGCTTCACCTCTAGGACTGCTGTCTTGCACAATACAGTTCCCACCTTCAGAGATCTCCAGCTCCCATAAAGAATCTGAATTCTGAACTTCGGTCTCGGTCTTGGTGCCAGCAAAGGGAGGGCCAGTATTAATGGCTGTGTTCATGCCATGGTGACGCCGCTTGTTTATCCAGTACAACAGTGGGCTGTAGGTGAACATGGCAGCTCTCATCACTTCCACCCACTGCTGGGCGTGTTCTTCTCTCTGCAAGTTCTTCTTCCAATGCAGAAAGAGTATGCAGCTGCCTACTAGCGAGGAACACAGCCCCAGGAATCCAACGCACAAGGAGATCCACACTAAGGCAGTGAGAAAGAAATCCGATGTGCTCAAGTAAGGCCTCATGCCTCTCTTGCCCTCATCACCATTACTCTCTCAACTCCTTCCCTCCCTCCTCATTCTCTTGCTAGACTTCCAAGTTACTTAAAGGACCATTTTAGCTATTTACAGATAAGAAACACTAGGTCTAGAAATCGTAAGAGCTAAGTCGGCATCTCAGGAGTCCTGTTTCTAGGAAAGATTACCATCTAATTGCTTAGCACCCCAAGCAGCCACTACTCCTTTGTCCATGCAAAATATTTTCCCTATTTGTCCCCCATGTTAAGGGCACAAAGTGAGGGGCAGGGACTAGAGGTCTCTTACTTACTGCCAGGGAAGCTCAGGTCCTCCTTTTAGGAATCCATAAAGGTCAGCCTTAGCGTCCAGCCTATCGCTCTGGGGAGAAGAAATTCTCTCCACCAATAGGAGTCCTCAGAAGGCCCAGGCCTCATTGTTCTCTAAAGGAAAGGTCACCAGGTTCTGTCCACTGAGCATTCCAGGGGCCATGTTTGTGGAGTAGTCCTGTTAATGGACGGGAGGAACCCATCCAGTGGCATCTCATAAACATTACCTACTGCTTCTACCAAAGGAGAGTTGTCTGCCCTCACCCTTGCAGTGAACCAGTAGAACTAGCCCCCAGGAAAGGGCCCTGGCACTCTCAAGGAGCTAACCACGTGGTTGGTGATTAAGGAAACATCTCTGGATACCTTCCCCAATGCCGATTGGGACAGAGAGCACACAGAACACCGGGCACGCCTGCCCTCGACAAATCTTGAGCGAAGTTGTCAGAAGAAAACTGGCTCAAGGGAACCAAGTAGTCAGCACCTCCTTTGGCTCCTACAGTCTCTTTTATTTATGTTTCATTTCTTCAACAAGTGCTGGCAAGTGTCTTGGGCCCTGCAGGAATCTCCTCCATCCTTCTCCAGCCTAACCTCCCTCCTTGTCCTTCACACTCCATTCCCTTCTGGCCAGCCCAACAGAGCCCCTCCCCTACACACACACACACACACACACACACACACACACCCCCTTGGGAGTTTTGCTCATGCTTATCATTTTCCCACTGAGTACCCCCCTAATCCTCTGCAGTATAACAAGTAGCTTCTCTTCCCAGAAGAGCATTAGAGTTGTCTAGTCCAACTCCCTTCAGGTTGCCTGAGCCCTGAGGCGTCCAGGGCTCACCTACCCAGCAACCAGTCTCCCAGGATTTATTGAAGCCAGGGCCTTGCTTATCACTTTGTAAGGTAGCTTGATCTATTTATGGGCAGCTCAGTTAGAAAGCCCTTGCGAGTTAAGCCTAAATCAACCTACAGAAGGATATACCAACCTGTCCTAACTTGAATTCTTACCATTTAGTTTTTCTCATTATAGCCCCCATTGTGCCTTGAGACACTCTTGGTTGCTTTTGTATTTCCCTGACCTAAATACCAGACAGAAACCATGTAAAGAGGAAAGGTTTCGGGCTGGAGAGATGGCTCAGAGGTTAAGAGCACTGGCTGCTCTTCCAGAGGTCATGAGTTCAATTCCCAGCAACCACATGGTGGCTCACAACCATCTGTACTGAGATCTGGCGCTCTCCTCTGGCGTGCGGGCATACATAAAGGCAGAATGTTGTATACATAATAAATAAATAAATCTTTAAAAAAAAAAAAGAAAAAAAAAGAAGAGGAAAGGTTTCATTTAGCTCCTGGTTCAGAGGGTTCAGTCCATAGTTGCCTGATCCCATGTGGATGGGCAGAACATCCCCACCTCGGAGGAACAAGTGGTAGAAGACCCAACCACAGAGGAACATGTGGTAGAAGACGCAGCCGCAGAGGAACATGTGGCAGAAGACGCAGCCGCAGAGGAACGTGTGGCAGAAGACGCAGCCGCAGAGGAACGTGTGGCGGAAGACGCAGCCGCAGAGGAACGTGTGGCGGAAGACGCAGCCGCAGAGGAACGTGTGGCGGAAGACGCAGCCGCAGAGGAACGTGTGGCAGAAGACCACTGCTCATATGGCGCTCACATCGCAGCAAACGGGAAGCTCAGTGCAGGGCCAGAGCCCAGGTCTGAGCCATAACCTTCAAAGTCCTGCCCTTTGCGACCTTCTAGCCAACCTCTTCACAGTTTCCACAGCCTCCCAAAATAGTGCCACCAGGTGGTATTTTGAGCTCGTTGAGGTCATTTCAGATTCAACCCAGAGCAGCACTGTTTACAGAGTTCTGTTCTACCTATTGCCCCCACTTTTCCTCCTCCTTATTGGTGCTTTCCTTTTCTCCTGGTCTCTAAGTGTTAGCATGCTCCAGGGCTCAACCCTTAGCATTCTATCTACATTCCCTTCTCAGGGAACTTATCCGCATTTCTAACATTAAAGAACACAAATACCATGATAATTCACAACTTCATACCTCCAGCCTGGAACACACCTTGAAACTTTAGAGTCACATCCCCAACAGCCTGGTTGCCGTCCTTCCTTACCTTTCAATTAAGTTATACTTACTCTTGGTTTTAGAGTAGGAAAATTACTCACCCTTAGAAGTTTCCATATTTGCTCCACATACTGGAGCAAATTCCACCATCAGGATGACCTTTTGAAAGGAGGCCATGTTACTCCTCTGCTCAAAGCCTATGGCAATTTCCCATCTCGCTCGGATAAAAGCCAGTTAGCCACAGCCTCCAAAGCCACCCATGGGCCTCATCTCTGCCTCTGTCTCCTCACTCACTCAGAACTTGTGCTTGGGCAATCCCCCTGTTTGTGTCTCTCCTCGCCCTTTGTTTTTTCTACATACAAGCATTGTCACTTATCCTTCCCCCACTAAAACGTAAACTCCATGGATTTATGTAAGCATTGTGCTTGCATTAGTTACTTTTCTGTTGCTCTAATAAAAAAATTACCCTCTCTGAGGAGTGGATGGGGTAGGGGTGAGGGTGGGGAAGAGGGTGAAGGGAAATGGGAGGAGGGGAGGGAGTGGGAACTGGGATTAGTATGCAAAATGAAAGAAGATAGTTTGTTTTCTTTTTTAATAAAAAAATTAAAAAGAAATTTCCTTCAGGTCACAGCCAGCATGAAAAAATTAGTAAAGAGAGATTCTGCAAATATTATGTAAATGTGTGTAACAATGTACTGTATTAAGAGTCAAAATCAGAATCTATTTTAGTGTTAACATCAAGCCCATAGGAGAAATTAAAAACAAAAATTTAAAAAAAGATACCATGACTGAGGCAATTTATAGAACAAGGATCTTTTTGGCTTAGAGTTCCAGAAAGAGGGTCCGTAATGACAGAGGCAGCATGGCAGCAGGAGGATGGGGCAAGAAGCTGAAAGATCACATCCTTATCCAAATGCAGGAAGCAGAATGCAGTAACTGGAATTGGGGCAAGCCTACAAACTCTCAAAGCCTGCCCGCTGTGATACACTTCCACCAGCAAGGCTCTGCCTCCTAAAGGTTCACAGCCTCCCCAACAGGGGAACAAATGTTCAGAAACCCGAGTCTATGGGGTAGTCCTCCCTCAAACCACCATAGGTCTAAAGTTTTAGCGATAACTTCTGTAAAAAGGAGAGGGCGGTAACAGGGTGAAGTCAAGTAAAAATACTCTAAAGGGAGATGGGGGTGATATGGCTCAGCAGTTTAAGGCACTTGCCATGTGAGCCTGGTGACCTGTGCTGGATCCCTGGAAACCATGGAAAGGAGGAAGGAGAGAAAACTGTCCTCAAAATTGTCTTCTGCCTGCCACACAATTGTCTCCCCAACCCCAACGCACATACTTTTTTCAGTGGTGGAGAGGTTCATCAAGAGAGGTCTCTCTGAGGTGCTGAGATGTGAACTGAGTTCTAGATGAGGAGGAGGAAGGCAGTGGTTGCCTTATTTGAGCCAGGAATCCAGAGCCAGATGCAGAGCAGCAAAGCGAGACTTTCATAATCACACTGCGGTGTCCCAGCACTGGGTGTCTCATGTCTAACAGCAGGCTGCATTGAAGTTTAGAGGCTCTGCTCCTGCTTCAGGAAGAGTTCCTATCAACCGAGGCCCAGATAAGGACTTCCATGTGACTGCCCTCACATAGGGTACACTCGTGATGGCAGCAGGTGAAACAGAGATGAGGTCATTGTCCCCAAGCTCACATCTTGTTCAACAGGTGAAGACTATGGTGACATTTTAGTTCGGTGGAAGTGGGAGAACCAACACATTCTAAGGATGAAAACAGAGCCTGAATAAAGATTTGTCAAGGACAATGCCTAGCGTCTCTGAGAGTAGTTTAATTACATGCCAGAAACAGAAGGAACCAGACTTCAGAGACACTGTGTTTTAAAAAGAGTTCAGCTCTTAGGTGGAATTCGTGTTTTAATGAGTTACAGCCAATTTAGCATCCCCGTCTGTAAAATGAGGGTAGTGCCTACTTCATAGGGTATGAGGCCAATGGAACCTTCTGCAAATAGAAACCAAAAAAGAGAAGCTTCAGCTGTAGATGTTCAAACATCCTCTGCTGCTAAAGTAACTATTAACAGCTAGAGCCAAGTAAATTTAGAAAAGGGGCAAATCCAGCGAGAACCCGAAGATCCAAGCCAGTTTTCTAGAAGCTTGGCGCGCAGAGGCTGCTGGTCCTGGGACGTGAATCCCGGCAGACTCCTAGGAGGAGAAGCACCACTACATTCACAGAGCCGGTGGGCAGAGAGAGCCACCAGCCCCTAGCGTCGCTATCCCTTCTCCACTCCGGCACCCGGAACCTTGCGCGCGCGGAACCTCGGTGGCGGAACACGGGCGTCACGGACCTTGAATGCGATGGAGCAGGCGCGCGGGCCGGGGGCCGAGGCTGACGCCCCAGAGGAGGAGGAGGGGGAGGCGCGGGCGGCCATGGCGGCCGTGGTGTCTGCTGCGGGTGGAGCGTGCCCCGCAGTCCTGCAGGTGGCCGGCCTCTACCGGGGTCTGTGTGCAGTTCGCAGCCGCGCCCTGGGGTTGGGGCTCGTGTCACCAGCGCAGCTGCGCGTGTTCCCGGTACGCCGGGGCTCCGGCCTGCCCTCTGGGGGAGCAGAAGGCAGCGGGGTCAGCGAGTTGGAAGCTAACCCCTTCTACGACCGCTACCGGGACAAGATCCAGCAGCTGCGCAGGTGCGGTACTGACAGGCGGGGCGTTGGGGGTGGGCACTCGCGGCGCGCGGGCAGAGAGCTTCCGTCATCTACTACTAAACTACCCTCCTTGGTGGGCTTGTAGTGTCCCCACTATACCAATAGTTTGTTTCCTAGTTCAGAGAGGCCTGGTCCCTTGCCTAAGGTCACATCGCTGGTCTCTGCAGCACAGTTGCCCTTGTGCTTGGTTCTCAGAACGCTCCGGTGAACTCTAATTAAAGCCCTTTGAGGAAGACAGCTCCGAGAGAGTTGTCCCCTCTGTAGAAATGTGAAAATGAAGCCCTCAGAAAAGGCACTTGGTTTGCTCAAGGTCACATGTTGAATCAGAGCAGACACCTGGCCAAGAGATCAGATTCCCAGGCTCCAAGCTGATCCCTGGCTGAGCGGAGAGGAGACTGGGAGTGGGAAAAGTGCTGCAAAGACTAGTTTTTGGATCGCCCATTGAACCCGTTCACTAAGGAAATGTAGGGGGTCTGGAGAGAGGTGAAGGCTTGCAGGAGGTCTCACAGTTGCTTATGGTTTGCCTGACGCAAACCAGGGTTCCTAATGCTTCAGCTTCCAGAAGGTAAAACCTAGAGCGGAAGAGCACTTGCTTAGGATGCACAGGGCCTTGAGTTGCATCCCCAGCACTGAGGGGGAAAAATGGGGTAGGGTCATGGCTGTTAAGATAGGTATAGTGGGTGCCTAGTTCCGGGTGGATGAGTTGAAGGTCGAAATGGAAAGGGGCTTTGAGAGAGAGTTTGGTGGTGTCAGAAGGCAATTTGAAAGGACTGTAAACTCTCTGCATTTTGTCTCATTTTAGTTCCACTCCCTTAATTTCTTCTTCTTCACGTGTACAACATCATCCTCTAACTAACTAGCGTTCACCCCTTCTAGTCTTGGAACCCTCCTCCCATCCCCTTTACATGAACATCGTGATCTGTCACACTTTTTGAAGCAATGATGAAACAAATGAATGGGTACTTCTACTGTCCTTCAAACATTAGATATTCTCAAATATTTGTTATTTTAAAATAGTTTTTTGACCCACAGTTCTCCCCACCCGTTTCTCTCTGATCTTTTACCCACCAGCATCTTCAAAGAAATGTCTACTCGCACTCCGAATACTTAGCGGTTCCAGTCACACTTACTCAAGAGCCCATAATGATTTCTTCCCTTTCTCTAGGTCATTCCCATCAACAATTATACCTACTGATATTCCAGAACATGGCCCATTGAATTCTGTGCTGCGTCCAAACAGCTTAGTGTTCCACATAAAGCTTTCACACCCTAGCTCCTGCTAGTCTCTCTCACCTGATGTAGTACCAAAACTTCTAATAGTATGGTCTAGGTCTAGCTCGCAGATAATGGAGGGAAGGGAAGGGAAGGGTGAAATGTGCTCCAAATATGAGAACAACACAGTTGAAAGTACAGTCATGAAACCATCTCGGTCATTTAGGGCTGTTTGTGCACTTTTTTGTTTTAATGATCAGTAGTGCTCATGTACATATTTACGTATCTGCAACTAGATAGTAAGTTTCAAGTAAGGACGGTGTCTTAGTTATTTTCTATATTTCCCTGGAGCCTAGGAAGAGCTCTGCTGCCCAGGGTACCCCACTGTGACAAGCTCAGGTACATCTGTGACTGCTAGCCATGCTTACCTAGTCCTTCCAGACAGAAAGAAAAAGGTCAGCCCATCTACATAGTAATGAAAAGAGTGACATTTGGTGTCACATCCAAATGGAAGAGAGGGTACCCTATATGTCTTGACTGTGAAGGTCTACCAAAGGATTAAACAAGATGACTTTGTCTCCTCACCCATGGTGTTGTGTGTCTCCCAGCCAAGTAGCTAGAATGATGTTTTCATCTTAGCATATAAAGCCAAACATCCGTGGTCAGCTACACATTCTGAAGTATTCCTGGCAGCCCCAGCCTGGCTTTCAAGCCAGAAGAGTGTCCCCATTTTAAGATAAAAGGCGAATTCTGATGTTCTGTCTGCAGGTTCTCTGGAGGATAGGTCAGGGAGATACTGGGTACTAACTCTTCTCCCAAAGCACCCACTTGGAGCCCAGGATCTGAGGGTAGGGATAGAGGGAGACGCCAAAAATTAGATATATTCAGGTAAAAGCTTAACACCTAGTAGGAGTGCTACAGGATTTCTGCCTGCAGAGCTGACCCAGCAATATGACTTAAAGTATTCTTTCTATCTTGAGTAGTATGAGTATCTACAATGTTTAAGTATCCGAAACTAACATATGCATCATCTGGGAATAATCTGCAAGAGATAAAAAATGTTGAGGCTTAATAGTTGATGAGCTGGCTTTGCTTTCCATTTTCTTGACTTCCAGGTTTATGCCCAGTTCTTAACAACTGAAAGCAAACCTTCATAATGCCTGTGTCCTGTCTTTGTGGATGTGATCTATGATGCTTTGTTATTTCAAAATCCTTTGATTTCCTTTTGGGCAGGTCCGACCCAGCTGCCTTTGAGTCCCGCCTGGAGAAGCGCAGTGAGTTTCTAAAGCAACCAGTGGGGCACTCCAAACAAAGTGAGTTTATCAGACGTGTGGAGCAGAAGGTAAGGCCTGCCTGGTCCTTTTGTGTGTTATAAGTTTACTAGCATTCCTCTCAGCCCTTACCCTTGTAGTGATCTCATTGATGGGTGAGATGGTAGTAACCTGAACATCTGATCTTCATCAATAAATGCATGTTCAGTTCTTTCTGGGCAAGATCCTGTAGTCATGATGGAATGTAAAGGAATGAAAGAATGGCCTCTGCTCACAAGGAATGCAGTCTAGAGATCAAATCAAGGTACACATGGCACTGGGCTATTGGGAGCAGGGAAGTGTTTACACTAGAGGTCCGGGGTTTAAAGACAGGGTCTCACTGTCAATCTGGCCTGGAACTTGCCATGTAGACAGGCTGACTTTGAACTCGTAGATTCTCTTGTGTCTGCTTTCTGGTAGCTGGGATTAAAGTTGTACACCACCACACCCAGCAAGTTTTTTTTTTTGTTGTTGTTTTTTGTTTTTTTGCTGTATGTAGGTGTGTGTGCATGTGAATATGTACACATGACTGCAGAGCCAATTGAGTATAAGAAGTGAGGTAGATGACTTCCCTGCTGAGAAGACAGGTCTGGAAGCAAATGCCAGGGGCTCAATCACAGCCTTTAGCTACCAGCTCGGTAATTATAGACAGATTGTGTGCCTCGGTTCTGCCTATTTGTGAATTAGAAATAATATCATTAACACCTGTCTCACAAAATCATGCTAAAGATCGAGTGAACTAGTATCATCAGAACTTAATGTATTATTAGCCATTGGGACCCTTGAGCAGTCAAAGCTGGAGAAAGCACATAGAATGCTGTGTCTATAATTACCCAGGACAAGGCTTTCCAAACTCTTTGACCATAACCCACACTAGGAAATACATTTACACTGCTACTTAGAATACACATGTATAACATACACATTTTTTATGGGACAGCACTCTTGTGATATGTAATACATTCCTATTCTATTTTTAGGCTGGCTCTCACCCTGTAGACCAGTCTCACCTGGCCCCCTCCACCTCGGCCTCCCATGTGCTCAGATCGCAGGTGTTGCAGGTGTGAGCCATCATGCCTGGGGAGCACATTCTTAGTTTCATTTTCTGAATAATTCTGATAACAATCCACCGAATTGATTTTACAACCTATAATTTGAAAACTTCCAAGCTGGGAGATGCATGGAACAAATTCAGGAGCGACTTCAGCCAGGTTGGGCCACTTTCAGTCGTTTCCGGCTGTGTTAGTTGTTACCAAGTTTCTGTGACGGAATGATGGGTGGATGAATGAGGACATGGTTCTGGCACATGGTTTCAAACATGTCAGCACATCATGTCAACTAGGGTGTGGGCTCAGGAATCAGAGAGAGGGGACTATGAGAAGAGACCACGATAAGGTAGGGCCTCTAAGGACATGCCCCTAGTGACATACTTCCTCAGGTTAGCCATCCTTCATCACTTCCCAATTTCATAATACAATGAATCCGACAGAAGATTAATCCATTCATCAGGTCAGAGTCCTCATGACCGCATCATCTCAGGAAATGCCATCTCACACTGACCAGAGGTGTGCTCTGCAAGTCCCTGGGCACCTTTCAGTCCAGTCAGTGTAACAGGGACTATTAGCCATCACCAGAAGTTGAATTAATAGAGAGAGTGAGAACTCAGCAGAACTCTAGAATGTTGACGACACCTACCACAAGAAATGCTATCAGAAATAATTAGTTTTAGAAAATACATCTCTCTATTTCCCACCTGATCTATGGCTGGTGTGGAATAGGTCAGAGGGCCAAGCACAGAAAGCCCAAAAAGAAATGGGAAGGAACCCATGGATTAGAATGAACTTTCGTACTGGGATTCAGTGATTACTAACAACCCCTTTCTCATCTTTGCATCTCAGGATCTTAGTGGAAGGAAAATTATCTTTAAACAATAACTCTTAGAATAGTATGTACGGTGTTATAAAGAGTGGATAGAAGTGAATTCTTAGGTACAGAATTACTTAATGAGATTGAGTACTTCTGTGACTTGGTTTTCTTTTTTTATGAGGAAAGATAGTTTAATAACCTGTCTCATCATGTATTTCAGACAGATGCCTCAGGGAAACAGCCTGTGAGCAAAGGATTCACTAAGGACAAGGTAAGTTTCTAATTAAATACCGAAATCCAAGTCTGAAGTCATATGGGACATCTATAATAAGAGACTGCAAATTTGAACATATTTATTGTGCTCAGTGATTTTTTTGTATAAGGCGATTTTTTTTTCCAACAGTAGAGATGAGAAATACTTCTAGATTTTTGTGTCCTTGACATGACCCCCAGCTTCAGTGTGAGTCCAAGGAGGCTACAAGAAATGGAAAGAAATGAGTGCTCTCCTTTCTATAGGAAGGAACTTTCAAAATCAAAACACCATTTGTAGCCTGCCCTTAACCGATCAGATAAGGAGCTTCCTGGTAGAACAGCAGCCAGGGTTTCTTCTTTCTCATCAGTTACAAAGTGCTGCAGGACTCACTGGTGAGACAAGCATTTGGGGAGCACTTGATGACCTAATAGCTACTCCCCAGGAATAGAACTGTGAAGGTCTGTGTGGGAGCAGAGACTCACATTCTCGGAGCATGTGAGTGTCGAATGCTTATTCTGTACCTACTAAAATCTGCTTCGCTGCTGACATTCTTTTCTACGAGGCTTTAGACAGAATTAAGCTGGGGTTGTCGTTAATTGTAAATATTAATTGCTATTTTTTTCTTTCAAGACTCTCAGTTCAATCTTTAACATTGAGATGGTGAAAGACAAAACTGCAGAGGAAATAAAACAGGTAATGAATGAAAATGAGTAGGTATACTCCCTGGAAGTATGTGCTCTGAGCAAGTCTGAGAACAGAAAAGGTCACACGTTTTTCTGACACCATTTTCTATCCCAGATGCTTTCATACGTCTAGTCAACTTAGGCTTGCCCTTTGTTTTTTCTTCCTGTTGCCGATGTACTATTTAAATCATCAGAACTCTATACCTGGATCACTGCACTGCCTTTCCAAACAGGCTCCCTGGGGCAGTGCTGATGGATAGTGGTGAGCAGAGCTGTCCTGCAAGTCGCCTTACCTGCGCCCACTTTACCTTCTCATAGCTGAGTGTGCTTAAGGTTCTGCTTGCCTTGCAGAGAAGATAGTATGCTGGTGAAAGTGGAGACTTTCCAAATGAGCTGCCATTTTAAGTCCTAGCTTTGTCACTTATTTGACTAGACAAGTTAATTTTGGGGGGCCTCGGTTTCCCCACTGTAAAGTGATAACTACTGGACACCTACTTCTTGAGCCATTTGAAAATTAAGAGTTAACTTTTGTGAAGCACTCAGAACAAATCCTGGCACAGAGTAAGTGCTATAGCTATGTTTTAAAATAAATGAAAAATTACTGTGTTGGGAGCTTGTTTGCAGGTGTCCAGTGACAACCACTCCCCTAACCCTGTGTTCACTTCCTTAGCATTGTGTCCTAAGGACCTTCTCTAGAAGCTTCCTGAACCTTCCCCTAGGAAGCACTCGTGATCTCTCCTGCCTCTTCGTCATTCTGTGTACCTTGATTTGCATGGCTTGTTTTGTTGTTGTTGTTGTTTGTTTGTTGGTTTTTTTTTTCCTTCTTGAGACAGGTTTCACTGTGTAACCCTGGCTGTCCTGGAACTCACTCTGTAGATCAGGCTGGCCTCAAACTTAGAGATCCACCTGCCTCTGCCTCCCAAATGCTGGGATTAAAGGCATGTACCACCATTGCCTGGTGTTTGTTACATTTTTTTATACCTATAGGTTTTTTTCTCTCTAGCCTGTATGAAACTATTTGAGCATTCTTTATACTTCCAAGAGTCATATTTTAAGTGTATGTGCTGATTAACAGCATAGTAATAAAAGAATAATAAATAGGCAGTCATATGCTTATTGCTTCACTGGTATTTCTTCGTTAAATTCTAATGTCCACCCTAGGAAATACGTGCTGTTATTCTCAATTTAAAGACATGGGGTTAAAAAATGAATATTTATGCAAAGCAGTGTTCTCAACATTGGCAATTTTAAATTTAAAAAAATATAACCAGAAGCATACTGAAGATTCTTTATAGCCTATTGTAGTAATAAGGGTGGCGGCGGGGCTGCGTCCCCAACACCCCAGCCGCCTGCCCGGCTAGCTTATGCCCCGAAATAATTACACGGACACTGTATTCTTTTAATCACTGCTTGGCCCATTCTCTTCTAGACTAATTCTCACATGTTAATTTAGCCCATTTCTAATCATCTGTGTGTAGCACCCCAAGGTGCGCTTACCGGGAAGATTCTAGCCTATGTCCATCCTGGGTCGGAGCTTAATGCCGTGTGTCTGCCCGGGAGCGGGGCATGGCGTCTCTCTCAGGCATCTGCTCCCAAGAGGAGAGATGTCGAGACTCTGACCTCACTTCCTCTTCCTCCCAGCGTTCTGTTCTGTTTACTCCACCCACAGGGCCAAGCAGTTTCTTTATTGGCCAATGACCTTCCTCCATCAGCCTATAATATCAAATTCCAGCCAAGATTCAGTTATTTGTTTAAAAATAAGCATACCCCTCTCAATAGTATACAATTATACGTATGTGAGAATTATTTTGAATGTTTCTTTATGATTTATTATCAGTAAATGTTTGATTTATATGCCTATTTTCTATTATATATACCTATATTCAAATTTCTCAGTCAAAAAGGAAGTAACAAGTGGAAAAGTATAAATCAAATTCCCTCCCCTTGCAAGCCCTGCTTCAATCCTCCAGCAGTTCTGGGAATTGAACCAAGACCTCATGCATGCTAACCAAGTTCTCTGCTACCGAGCTATACCCCAGCATCACAGTCATCTAATACTGTTGGATTGCTTACTTCCTCGCTCAGCCTGGTTTTTTTTTTTTGTTGGTTGTTTTTTTTTATTTTGTTTTTTTGTTTTGGTTTGTTTTGGCTTTGGTTTTGGTTGTTTTTTATTTTTTGTTTTTTGTTTTTGTTTTTGTTTTTGTTTTTTTTTTTACTGACAGATGGCAAGATCCACAATAGGCTGGATCCTTCCACATCAATCACGAAGAAAATTAAGAAAATGTTGGGGGGTTGGCTCAGCAGTTAAGAGCACTTACTGCTCTTGTAGAAGACCCAGGTTTGATTTCCAGCATCCACATGGTGTCTCACAACCATCTAGAACTCCAGTTCCAGAGGATCCAACAATCTTCTGACTTCTTAGGAACCTAGCACAAATACAGTGACATACATATATGCAGGCACAAGAGTCATATACATAAATGCACCATAGCTTTGTCCACAAGCCAGTCTGGTGGGAGCATTTTCTCAACTGAGGCTCCCTCTTCCAAATGACTTTCTTCTGTCAAGTTGACACAGAACTAGCCAGCACAATCATTAGAGAGATATGAGGTGCAAACATTTCATAGGAAAACTTCTGACTGACGAAATGAAGGAATATTACATGGCGGGGGGGGGGGGGAGCATATAAACTTAGCCTTGAATGTTAGGAAGAATTAGTGGAGAAGGAAATCAGAGATAGGAAAATGAAAGCTTTCCAGTAAAAACCAGTAATGTGAAAAGGCATGGGGGATAATAAAGTCAATAGGAGTGAAAAGTACAGGCAAATGTGCATATGATGTGCTGAAGGGGAGTAGTGCATGGCTACGATGTCTGTATAATACATCGTAAAAACATATTTCTTAGACACCAGAATAACTCATCTAGGTTTATAAAACTGGATTTATTTTTTTCCTTTTCTCTGTTCTCTAATTTTACACTGTGTAAACCTATTCGCTACTTTTAGGTATTTGCATCATGAAAGTCAGCTATACCCACTGCCTTCTTTGCTGCCAGGAGGAGGGGTAGGATTGTGGCCGCTCTGTAGTCTAGTCAGACCAGCAGACTCTATCTCTTCCTGATATGTAGAACTTTCTGGAAGCAAAATTTTAAGAGCTGCCTAAAATATAACAATAAAAGCTGGTGTGATTTTTAGTGTCTGTTCTGCCAGTCTCGGGGTTCTATTGGTTCAGTCAGTCTTCATAACAACTCTGAGAGGTTGGCATCACTGCTATTTTATTGATATTATTTAGGAAGTTTCAGTGATTTGCCCAAGGTAGAATAGCTAGTAAATTATCAGGGCTACCATTTGCCTCCCAGGCCGTTGACTATAGACCCTAAACTCTGAAAGGGCCATATCCTTGCTCCCTGAGAAGGCCCACAGTTGACTCGGGAGGTGTGGGTTTGGGAAGGGATAAAGAACCTGCTAAAAACCTATCACCAACAAGATCTATCCTGAGAACAATTATTTCAGAAATCTAGAGGCAATTTCTTTGACAAGAGTTTGTTATTTTTTTAATCTTATTACTATTTTTTATGTGTATAGGTGTTTTGCCTGCATGTAGATCTGTGCACCATCTGCATGCAGTACCTGTGGAGGCCAAAAGAGTGTCAGATCCCCTGGAACTGAGGTTACAGATGGTTGTTAGCTGCCATAAAAGCAGTAGGAATTGAACCCAGGTTTTCTGCAAGAACAACCAGTGCTCTTAACTGCTGAGCCATCTTTCCAGGCCTTTTTATTGTTTTCAGTTGTCTGCTTGTCTACGGGTATGTACACATGAGTGCAGGAGCCTGCAGAGGCCAGAGGGTTGGGATCCCATTGGTCTCCTGACACTGGAATTACAGGTAGTCATAAGTTGCCTGATGGATGCTAAGAACCAAACTCAGGTTCTCTTCAAGAACAGTAGATGCTGTTAACTGGGCCATCTCTCCAGCCCCCAGGGTTATTAAGAGGTACAGTTTGGGGCTTGGAAAGATAACTCACAAGTGAAGAGCACTTTCTGCTCTTCCAGAGACCTGAGTTCAGCTTCCAGCACCCACATCAGCTGGCTCACAACTGCCTTTAACTCCAGCTTCAGGGAACCCAAGGGCATCTAAATAGTGCTGTATACACAAACATATACGTTTTTAAAAACTGAATCTTAGGCAGTTTTAAAGAATTACAGTTTAATCATTCAGAAGAGCATGTGTTATTAAATTTGTTATAATTATGTACTAGTTGTAAAAACATTACAGTGTGTTTTCCTCCCTGTTATCAGATAGAGTAATCCTCGACCAGTTTAAGCTATCACTATTCCTTGGCATACAAGGAAAGATTACCCATATGTCACAGATTAGTTATGTATTTATTTATTTATTACAGATTTGGCAACAGTATTTTTCAGCAAAAGACACAGTCTACGCAGTTATTCCTGTAAGTAAATTGAAGGGGAAGTAGAAGTATTACAGCATGAAGGTCAGCGCTCTAGCCCTCTCGGGCAGTTGCCTGTACTTTTCCTGTGTTTATGACATCTTGAGAACTTACACTTTACAGCTCTAAGAGTTTTTATTATGCCCTGAGCACCAGAGATTGGATGTTCCATGTGGTATATTTATGACGTTTGCTTTCCCTCCTTCTGGTTCAAAAATGTTTCCAAGTCTCTGACCAGGGAGGCTAGTGTATGTACATGTTTCTGAGTGGTTTCCAGATACATTTTATTTCCTTCTCATTTTCCAACCAAACTGCTGGTATTCAAGACACTGCCTCCAGCATTCTTGTCTGGAAACGGCAGATGCCTGAGCTGACCTGGAGCTCCCTCCTGGCCTTTCTCCAGTTTTCCCCTTAGCAAGTGGCATTTTCTTGGTTTTACCGTATTGAAATTGTCTTTAGAGATGATCACTGGCCATTGCCTTACCCTTAAGGTCTATGACTAAGAAAGGATAAAGCTGTCTTCTCCAGTTAAAATTAAATCTTACTCTACACCAGGCATGGTGGTGCATACCTTTAATCCCAGTGCTTGAGAGATAGGTCTCTATGAGTTCGAGGCTAGCCTTAAAGTACACTGAAGAACAGTTATATTTTCAACTTGCTTATGTGTAAGATTAAGGAGGAAAATGCACACAGAAGGAAAAGCCAGACCTTTTGGTTATGAAGAAGTCCCTATCCTTTGTTTTTTAACTTCCTATGCATATATATATACTCTTGCCTTCATGAACTCCATAGTCTAAAGTCTGTACTTGTCGTTATGTTTTAGATCTTTCGTTCCAACTCATTGTTTGAACAGGCTTTCACAAGTCTCTCTTGGATTCAGCCGGTTCCGTGGAGACTTTAAAGCATGAAGCACTTCATCTTCACATGGAATTTGTAGCAATGAGCAGCAAAGCATGCATCTGGTTTTTCCTGCTTTTTGTCATAGGATGATTTGTAAATGATAGAACTTAAAAGCCTGTTTCAACCATAATAGAGTTCTAGAATTCAGCCTTGGAAAACTCAGTTGATCATGACTTTTCATGTTTTCCTATTTGTAAGTTAATTTTATTCTTTTCTAATTTGCAGAAAGAGAAGTTTGATTTGATCTGGAACCGGGCTCAGTCCTGCCCAACAGTAAGTCTGTGGTAACCATGTAGAATTGTTTATAAATGCTACCAAATAGTTGGCTTCAAACAGTCCTCATGATATAATGCTCTATGAACAGAGGTCCTCACATGTCATTTGTTTGATAAGTGATATTTTCATCCTTATAAATGGCGTTTTAGCTCTCTACCACATTAGGCCTTTCTGATTTGGATCTTAATCTCTCAGTGTACGTCCATAGGAAAAGGCACCTAAGAGCCCAGTGCCTTTAATTCCATTCAGCCTGGTCTATATAGCAAATTCCAGGCCTGCTAGGGATATAGAGAGACCCTGCCTCAATAAATGAATGAATGAGCCAGGCAAGGGTGGTGCACACCTTTAATCCCAGCACTCAGGAGGCAGAGGCAAGCGGATCTCTGTGAGGTTGAGGCCAGCCTGGTTTACAGAATGAGTTCCAGGACAGGCAGCAAAGCTACAGAGAAACCTTATCTTGAAAAACAAAACAACAACAAAAATGAATGAATGAATGATACTAGACCTTAATCTTTGCTGCCTCCTTCAGGTTCCTGTATTAGAATTTCTCTTTACAGTTTTGCCCATGCTATTCTGATAGTATGTGCCAAAACCAAATGATTATTTTGTTGCTGAAGTAGTGAACCACCAGAAGGCTCCAGGAAAAGGGAATGGATAGCTGATGTGACAGCCAACTTGTCAGCAATGGTTGCTAGGGTTTTTTCCAAACATTGCTTGCAGAAATAAAAAATACCTAAGTAAACTGGATATATATATATATATATATATATATATATATATATATAATTTTTGCGTGTTGGACAGCAATATCGCTTAATGTCAGCTCTCCTCAAATTTCATCTCTAATGCTTTTCTTCTTAGATAGGTTTGAGAAAGGTAGAATGAGAAATGTGTATGTTTGTTATGCTATCACATAATTAATTTCATAATTTAAAAAATGTTCTTAAAGCCAAGCATTATGGGATGGGAATATAAGTCAGTTGGCAGGTTTCTTCACCTAGCATGCACAGAACCCCAGCTTCAATCCCCAGCACCCTATAGACTGGGTGTGATAGCACATGCTTAATCTAAGTACTTGAGAGATAGAGGCAGGAGAATTAGGAATCAGGTCTTGCTTGGCTGTATGGAACTTTGAGGCCAGCCTGGGATATTTGAAACATTGGCTTTTACAAAAAAAAAAAAAAAAGGAGGCAGAGAAAAGAAGGAATGAAGGAGGAGGAGAAGGGAGGAAGGAAGGAAGGAAGGGAGGGAGGGAGGGAAAAAAGGAAGGTAGGAAAAATTAAAAAGCCAGACATTGAAGAAATAGAGTGGTACAAGTGATTAGACATTGAAAATAACTTCATTTGTCCATCTGTCTGCTTGTTTTTCTGTTTCCCACAGTTCCTTTGTGCACTACCAAGAAGAGATGGTTATGAGTTCTTTGTAGGACAGTGGACGGGTACTGAACTCCACTTCACTGCTCTTATAAATATTCAGGTAGGTCACGTATGCCCTACACAACACAGGAGGCACTAGAAGCCTTCCCAGGGCTGGAGTACAGTATCTTCTGACTTCAGCAGTACTTGCTGTGCACTGATGAGCTGTCATATGTTGACAAGTTAGGCTAGTTTTCTAGGCCTCACTTAATACCAGAAATTTGAAGTCCGTATACTTTTCTCCCACTTCACTGTTATCTTTTGTCTTCTCCCTAGAACTCTGTGGCATCTCTTGCATGTGCATACTGAATAAGCATGGATGAGTTAAAATGTTATCTTCTTAACCCAGATGTAAACCCTTTGAGGAAGGCTCCATGTCTTACCTGTGTTTTATTAACCGCACTGTTAGGTGAATAGCTTTCATTTCATAAATATGAGTTTATTTGCTTTCTTTTCTTTGTTTTATTCCCAAATTGTTTATTACAGTAAAAAAAAAATAAGCTCAAAATATACTTAAAGCTCTTTCAAAAAGAAGTCAGTATTTTTGTTCACAGTAACTAGGATTGACATTCTATGTTTAGAGTTCACAGCTGGTAAAAAAAAATCATATATTGTTTTGACTTTAGTGTTGAGGCAGATGGCACAGAATAGAATAAGGAGAAATTTTTACATTTTTGTCTGATAAATTATTGAGTATATACTGTGTTAACATTTGATAGATATTATACAATGTGTTGGAAGAGGCTGCTTGTTCATTTCCCGGCTGCTCACAGCTCAGACCCGAAATAATTACACTGAAACTGTATTAATTAAATCACTGCTTGGCCCATTAGCTCTAGCTTCTCATTGACTAACTCTTACATATCAATTTAACCCATTTCTGTTCATCTGTGTATTGCCATGAGGCTGGGGCTTACCAGGTAAAGTTCCAGCATCTGTGTCCAATACGGTACATAGCTTCTCTCTGACTCTGATTCTTTTCTCCCCGCATTCAGTTTAGTTTTCCCTGCCTACCTTAGTTCTGCTCTATCAACAGTTTCTTTTTTCACTGATGGTATTCACAGCATACAGAGGAGAATCCCATATCACCTCCCCTTTTCTGTTTAAATGAAAAAGGAAGGTTTTAACTTTAACATAGTAAAATGACATATAACAACAGGTATTATAGTTACAGGGCTGGAGAGATGGCTCAGTGGTTAAGAGCTTGCCTGCTCCTCCAAACGTCCTGAGTTCAACTCCCAGCAACCACATGGTGGCTCACAACCATCTGCAATGAGGTCTGGTGCCCTCTTCTGGCCTGCAGGCACGCACGTACAAAGAATATTGTATACATAATAAATAAATAAATAAATAAAATTACAATATTTATTTCTACTCATCTTTTATCATAACTAAGAAAAATTATAATTATCAATTCTTCAACTTCATCAAAGACCACAGAAGGATATAATATTACCTAAGTTAACAGGACATTCATTGTAAGCAACTTCCAAAACTCTAGAAATGACAGAGACATCTCGCTGCCTGGACAGTCACCCAAAGTTCTTCTGTACCATTGGGGCATCCATCTTCAGTTTACAGGCCCATAGTATCCAGCAGACTTTTCCACAGAGCAGGAAATTTCAAAGACATTTCTGCCTATATTGGTAGTTTGTCAGTCACGTTTTTCTGTGTCCTGTAGAATATGTAGCAGACTCTTTCATGAAGCAGGAACCCTGAAGGATGGTATCACCTTTAGGCAAGTTCAACAGTCATTTCTCTGCAGGTCCTGCATGTCCAGTTCATAAAGCAGTCCAGGCAAGAGCAGTTTCTTGCCCAAATGGCTAACCAACTCTATAAGAAGCCTCTTCGATGCCTATCTTCCTCTTGATGTAGATTGGTGTTGCCAGGAGCAGATGTGTCTTATTGTCATGAAAAGTCCTAAATTCTTAAACATTTTAAGTGCCATATTCTCTAGTCTTTGAAAGGTTTGAAGAATGCTTATCTATCTGCAATACATCTCTGTACATATAGAAAATCTAACTAGCATGACTACAAGCTTGACTATTAACCTATATTTCTTAATTATACATTACATTTTTTAATGAGCTGTACAAACATAATACCTTAATCTAGAGCAGAAATATGTATATATACATATATATAATATATATACACTGTAGTAATAGGAGCGGCGGGGCTGTGTCCCCAGCACCCCGGCCGCCTGCTAGCTTATGCCCGAAATAACAACACACAAACTGTATTCATTTAAACACTGCTTGGCCCATTTCTATCTAGCCTCTTCTAGGCTAATTCTCACATATTAATTTAGCCCATTTCTAATCATCTGTGTAGCACCGCTAGGTGCGCTTACCGGGAAGATTCTAGCCTACGTCCATCCTGGGTCGGAGCTTCATCGCGTGTGCCTCAGAGAGCAGAGCTATCACGTCTACCCGGGAGAGGGGAGCATGGCGTCTCTGCTCCAGAAAGCAGAGCTGTTGAGTCTGAGCTCACTTCCTCTTCCTCCCAGCATTCTGTTCTGTTTACTCCTCCCACCTATGTTTTAACCTATCAGGGCCAAGCAGTTTTCTTTATTGCTTAACCAATGAAATCAACAGATTGATATATGACACTCCCACATCACGTCCCCTTTTTCTGTTTAAACAAAAAAAAGGAAGGCTTTAACTTTAACATAGCAAAATTACATATAACAAAACAGTTATCAAGAAAAAATTACAATAATCTTTATCATAACTAAGGAAAACTGTAACTATAACTAACTATTCTTAACTCCATCAAAGACTCCAGAAAAGATACAATATTACCTAAGCAAACAAGAAAAAAGCAACTTTCAAACTCTAGAAATGACAGAGACATCTCACTGCCTGGACAGTCATCCAAAGTTTCTCTGTACCGTTGGGGCATCCATCTTCGGCCTACAGGCCCATAGTATCCAGAGACATTTCCATGAAGCAGGACATTTCAAAGGCAGTCACTATCTGCTTGTCCTGAAGAATGTCTTGCAGACTCTTTCATGAATCAGGAACCCCGAAAGATCACCTCACCTTTAAGCAAGTTCAGTAGTCCTCTCTCTGTGGGTTCTCTGTGTCCAGTTTATGCAATAGTCCAGGCAAGAACAGTTTCTTGCCCAAATGGCTATCAAACTCCATAAGGATCCTCTTCGATGCCCATCTTCTTCTTGAAGTAGATTGGTGCTGCCAGGAGCAGAGTGTCTCATTGTCATGAAAAGTCCTAAGTTATTAAAACATTTAATAGCATATTCCGTAGTCTTTGAAAGATATGAAGAATGTTGATCTAACTGAAATATATATCTATATATCTAGAAAATCTAACATGACTACAAACTTGACTATTATTAATGATTATCCATTAACAATCTATATACATTACATTTTTAAATGAACTACACAATCATAATACCTTAATAAAAATCAGAAATACATATACATATAACAAAATTGACCGTAAATCTCTATCAATAAAGCAAAATCTATACTAATGCAAATTATTCATACCTATATCATATCCCCCTTTAAATGTTAAAGAACGTTTATAAACCATATTTGGGAACATGGGCGCAGTTTTTTCTCTCCAAACTGCTTCCTGCTGAATGGGGGCATCGTTAATTAGGTCTTTCATGGTATAACCTGTGTGCTAGTTTCATCTCAGTTGGCAGTTGAGCGAAGCAATTTTCTGAAGATGTTTACAGCAACCCTTCAGGAGGGCGTGGTCCATCATACCATATTCGGATAGAAGAAATCCACAGACTCTCACCCTCTGTGAAAACAAAATAAGAAACTCCTTTCCAAAGCATCATGTCCTTAGATCCAAATTTCAAAGTCAAGGCATTTTCAAAATATCTATTTTGGATTAGTTCAGCAGCATTTATAAACAAATACCTTTTAGCAGCTATTGCTCTTTTCTCATCATTCAAACAATTCAAACAGCATAATAGCATACAGTATCAAGATTCTCTGTGTATTTTTCATCTTTGTGCAGCTTTGTTTTAACCTCTATTTTGTTTATTTTTACTTTTAACTTTTTGCTTTTTGAGACAGGTTCTCTGTATCTTTGACCTGGAATAACTCTGTAGACCAGGCTGTCCTTGAACTCTCAGATATCCGCCTGTCTCTGCTCCAAGGCATTCGGGATTAAAGGCGTGTGCTACCACACCTTGAAGTCACAGAGGTCAATCTCCCTCTGCCTCCCAAGTGTTGGGATTAAAGGTGTGTACTACCACACCCAACTACTTTCTTTCTTCCTCTTTTTTTTTTTTGTTTTTTACTTTAAGAACTTTAACTTTTAGTCTGAATATATTTTTAACACACTTTAAACCATTTAGAAATTTTCTTTGTCTTTGAATCTCTCTTTACTGTATATCTCTCTTTTTCTGACCACACAAGCCTTTAAATTACCAAGCAATATCAGTAGGACTAAAGCCGTGGCTATGCCAGCTAGATCCAGTCCATTCCTTAGCTTTCTGCCATTCCAACCTTGTGGCTGAGGTACCGGCCAAAGCCGCATTCAGTGCCAAAAGTCTACAGCGTTTCAAGGTCCTTGCCATCAAACAAGCTGCAACAGACAACACTCAAGTCCTCTCTGTAGCTGGCCCTCCTGCCTCAAACAGTCAGAGTTTTCCCTGGCAGGACGGCCCAGAAAGCCGGCATTTTAAAACAACACAGGTTTTTTTCCTGTTACTGCTGAAAACAAACAAGCATTCAGTCGACTTTTATCAACACAATTTAAATGTTTCGTGGCAGGACCTCTTAAGAGCTGCAGGGTTTTACAGCTGAAGCTGAGTCAGGAAGCCTCTCTTAGATGAGAGCGCTTGCTTGCTTCTAGCAAGCAGAACAGACCCGAGAAATCACTGCTACCAAGAAAACATGCTTTACTCTTTCCCAAGCTTTTTCAGGCTTTCAGTGGATTCAGTTGTCCACACATCTGGGCACCATTCTGTTGTAATATGAGCAGCAGGGCTGCGTCCCCAGCACCCCGGCCGCCTGCTAGCTTATGCCCGAAATAACAACACACAAACTGTATTCATTTAAACACTGCTTGGCCCATTTCTATCTAGCCTCTTCTAGGCTAATTCTCACATTAATTTAGCCCATTTCTAATCATCTGTGTAGCACCGCTAGGTGCGCTTACCAGGAAGATTCTAGCCTACGTCCATTCTGGATCGGAGCTTCATCGCGTGTGCCTCAGAGAGCAGCGCTATCACGTCTACCCGGGAGAGGGGAGCATGGCGTCTCTGCTCCAGAAAGCAGAGCTGTTGAGTCTGAGCTCACTTCCTCTTCCTCCCAGCATTCTGTTCTGTTTACTCCTCTCACCTATGTTTTAACCTATCAGGGCCAAGCAGTTTTCTTTATTGCTTAACCAATGAAATCAACAGATTGATATATGACACTCCCACATCAATACACAGTATAACAAAATTGATCTTAAATTTGTATCAGTAAACCAAGATCCATACCAATGCAAATCTTTATTGCATATTAAACATATAGCAAATATTGTTTAAGTATTTATAAACAATATTTGGGAATTTGGGCGTAGTTCTCTAGACTACTTCCTGCTGAATGGGAGCACTGTTAATCAGGTCTTTCATGGTATTTCCTGTGTGCTAGTTTCATCTCAGTCAGCAGTTGGGCAAAGTAATTTTGGGGGAGTGTTCACGGAAACTTTTCAGGGTGTCTTGGTCCATCAAACCATATTAGACTAGAAGCAATCCACAGGTTCTCATCTTCTGTGGAAACAAAAGAAGAACCTCTTTTCTAAAGCAACATATCCTTAGACCCAAATTTTGAAGACAAGATACCTTTAAAGTATATATGTTGGTTACTTAGCATCTTCACAGTCAAAAAATTCATAGAAAACACAATAATATACATAATCCAGACTCTCTGCATATTCTCCATCTTTACGTGACTTATTTTTTTAAATCTATTACTTTTTCGTATTTATTTTATTATATTTACTTTACTCCTTTAATCTGTGACTGTCTGTACTCTTTCTCTTTAAAGACTTTACCCTTTTTTAAAACCATTTACTTCTTTTTATAACTGTCTATATGCTTTTCCTTTTCTCTCCCAAGCCTACGTACATCCAACATTTTACTTGTCATTTAATATCCTCAAATGAATAGGTTACTGTTGCTATTTTTATTTATAAAGAAGAGAGTGAACTTAGGGAAGTTAATAAGCTACGCTGAGTCCAGGTTGTCTGACTCCAAAGTCTATAAACTTAAATATTTACCATTGTCTTGAAAACTCTGCTAGGTCCTGTAGATCTATGAAGAAAGGAAGGAAGGGAAGAAGGAGGGAGGAGTTTATAGAGAAATATATTTAAGAGAAAGCCAAATACAGAGTAGATGTTAACTCTAAAATGGGATTGGAAAGGGATACAGAAGGATCCTCTAATTGTATCTCTGTCCTTGTTTGCTTTCTGTTGCTGTGATAAAATACCATTCTAGAAACAACTCATGGAAGAGAGGGTTTATTTAGGCTTACAGTTCCAGAGGTAGACTCCACAGTGGATGGGGAGGCATGATAGCAAGTGGTAAGAGCCAAAAGTTGAGAGATCACTCTTCATCCACAGACATAAAGTGCAGAGCAAACTGGAAATAGGTGAAGCTATAAACTCTCACGGCCTCCCTCTGCCTCCAAGATGTTCTTCCTCCAGCAAGGCTCTACCTCCTAAAGGTTCCATAACTTTCCCCAAATAGTGCCACCAACTGCAGAGCAAGCCTTGAGGAGACATTTTCATTTAAACTACCAGTCTCTAATGCTTTCTTTCTTACATGGATTGAGAAGTGTATGTCTGTCTATGATATTATCATGTGTATTTCATAATAAACTATTAGTATATTTTATAGTCTACTATTGTATATTGTATATTAGCATGTTGTGTAGTATCCTACTATCTTATAAGTAGAATTATCAGTATATTAGAAGCGTGTATGAGGGAACCAAGAGGATGAACTGTTAAGATTGCCTTAGCAATAGTTAGGTACAATAATTAAAGGATGCTTGCTGAAGCTTCAGAGATGAAGCCCTGGGAGCTGTTTTCTGTCATTCTACATGAAGGCGTTGGCTTTAAATTCAGCTTCTCTTCCTAGACTAGACTTAAAATCTGGTGACCTCACTTATCATTCTTCATGAAGTTACACAATTCCTATTTTTTTTGTCTCCTTCCTGCCACAACCAAATAATATTTTGAAGCCACACAGCAAAAATCTGGCTCCATACACAGACTCTACAGTGCTTTGCTATAGCGTAAAAGAGCTCCATTTTCAGAGCCACCACAGGGAGTAGATGAAATGCACTAGTCCATAGAAGTGGCAATTACACAGGCACATCGCTTTCTTTAGAACTTGACTTGGTAGCTGCCTGTACCATTTTGTTTTTAAATGTATGACCACAATGAAGGATTCACTGCCTTCGTAAACATTCTCTGGGAAAAAAGCCAGATCTTTTCCAATTGAAGACACAAATAACACCGTGAAAACTGTCAGTTCACCATGCCTTTGCAGGCCTGACCTTGCCCATACATACCAGTCCTCTAATTCACTAGCTACCCAGAGGGCTATTAAGAGCTAGAATTTCCTCCAGACTCTGTTGCTTTGAAACTGCAGTTTGTTGTGGTGGTACCTTATTGAGCTTTGATAAGTGTTTCTCCGTGTAGACCCGAGGGGATGCAGCAGCCAGCCAGCTGATTTTATATCACTATCCTGAACTTAAGGAAGAAAAGGGCATAGTGCTGATGACAGCTGAAATGGATTCCACATTTCTGGTAAGAATCTACATTTGTCTCTTTGGGTTTACCTCGTAGTTCTGTAGGTGTTAACTCTTGTCAATGCCTCAGGTCTAGATTAGAGAAAGATACCTTTGTGTATTTTGTTTCTCATGGTTGAAAATAATTTTGTCTTGCTTGTATACATTTAAGTTGAAGTACAGTTAGCTACAGATAAATGGATGGTTTCCTTTGTCGGTGCTAGTTTGTTTCATTTTACTTTTTAAGTGTGTGTGTGTGTGCACGCATACATTGTGGGTATGGGGCAAATGCCAAGTGCATGTATGAAAGTCAAAAAATAATTTCTGGAAGCCCGTTTACTCCTTCCACCCTCCAGGTTCCAGGGGTCAAACTCAGGTCATCAAACTTGCAGCAAGCACCTTAACCCACTGAACTACCTCACTGGCCCTAGAAATAGGTTGTTTTATTTTATTTGAGACAGGGACTCACTATATAGCCCTGGCTGTCCTGGATCTCACTAAGCAGATGAGGCTTGCCTTAGAATCAGAGACCTGCTGAGTGCTGGGTGATGTGGGAGTGACTTCTTTCTAATCTGTTGCTTTCATTGGTTAATTAATAAAGAAACTGCTTCGCCCATTTGATAGGCCAAGCCTTAGGTGGGTGGAGTAAACAGAACAGAATTCTGGGAGAAAGAAGCCAAGTCAGGAGTCACCATGATTCTCCCGCTCCAGACAGAAACAGGTTAATATCTTCCCTGGTAAGCCACCTCATGGGCTACACAGATTATTAGAAATGGGTTAGATCAATATGTAAGAGCTAGTCAATAAAAGGCTGAAACTAATGGGCCAGGCAGTGATTAAAAGAATACAGTTTCCGTGTAATTATTTCAGGTAAAGTTAGCCGGGTGGCTGGACACAGCCCCGCAGCTTATTACAGCAGCTGGGCTAGAGGCTGATGGTGAAAATAGTTTCACATCCTCATTTGATCACAAATTTTCCCTGTGTTAAATTCTTTTGAAGCTAAATTTTCATTTAAACTGATATGAGGTCATTTATAGTCATTATTCTCATGTAATATAGAATACTATATATTTTATTAAGGAAATATGAATGTGTTTGATTATGGGGCATAATGTAGTTACATATTTTCTTCACCTATGGCTTTTTTAAATCCAGTAATGCCAAAACCAAGACACATCTGGCCCTGGAGATTTCAAACAAGGTTATGGGCATATAGCTGACTTCTGAAATGTAAGATGAGTTCAAAATCTAGAGTAATAGTTGTGTCTTTTTCTTCCTTTACCTTGTTCATGGGAACATTCACCATTGGATTTCCTTTTCTCCTTTTCCATTCCCAGTTGTGTTGCTAGGGAGACTATCAACCACATACCCATAACTAATGATGCCCATTGTGTTTCCCTGTGCATCTAGGTACCAGAGACATTTGTCTGACAGAGACTGTTTAGAATGCCCTCAGAGGACTGGGCATTTCAAAGCCTCTTCCTCCATTCCAACATTCCACTTATATTTTTTCTTCATCTTTATCAGATACATAGTGAGAAAGTGATTTCAGCCAGCTACTGTCTTGTAGTAACAGTAGACTCCAAACCTGGAACATAATGGGGACTCTGCCTCCCTGACTGTTATTCCTAAACTACTCAGTTTTATTTCTCCCATTTTTCCTTCCTCCTAAACTGTTTTTGTATCATACTCAACCGGAAGTCACTGATCCAGAATCTTATTTATAAATATATATTTACCATTAATTGAGGTAAGGCTGCAGAAAAAAATAGTTTTGAGAAGACCTCACTTTTAGACTGTTAAGTCTGAGATGCCCATTAGTTATCTTTGTAGTGTAGACAGTTAGATACCTGAGCCTGGTGTTCAAAAAAGTGACCCAGGTCTAGTATGTGGGTTGTATTTAAAGCTGTGGATTGAATGAAATACCAAGAAAATAAATGAGGATGTAGAAGAGAAAATATATAAGAACTAAGTCCTTGACAGATGAAGAAACATCAGAAAATTAAAAAAAAAAAAGCAAAACAAAAAACAGTTGTGATACGGGTGAGATTAAGATGGTAGAATGCCTGGAAATAAAAATAAAGTATTCTAAAAGCAAAAGGGGGTGTTTAGTTGGTCACTCTAACTTGCTTATAGGGCAAATGAAATAAAGACTGAAAGTGCACTAGATTTTATAAACATGAAACTATTTAGTGACCTTTATAGGAACAGTTTCAGAGGAATGGTAACACTATAAATAAACATAATTAAATTTAAGAATGATGGGAAGAAAAATTAGGAAGGGTATGCATTAATGCTTTCAGGGGAAAGAATAGTGTTAGATGGAGGAAAGAAGTGGGAACAAGGATGTCTTTTATTTTAAATATCGAGTAAATATATGGAAAAATATGGTAGGGAAAAATATTGGTCATATAGGAAGAGGAGTAATATTCTGGATAGACAAGTCTGGAAATGAGGGTTTAATCTTTGCCTGGAGTATGGTAACTGAAAGAAGTTAGGTTATGAGGACATAGGTATGGAAAGTTAGATGAATGGTTAGTGGCAGCTTGTGGAAGTTCTTGCCAGATTTTATTTTATATATATATATATATAGTGTGTGTGTGTATTAGATACATTATTGTGTATATATATATATATATATATATATATAGAGAGAGAGAGAGAGAGAGAGAGAGAGAAAGGCCATCAGCTTGAAGTAAACATGTAAGAATAGAGTTAGATATTTGAGTCAAAAAGAAATAGTATGCCAGCCATGGTGATACACACCTTTAATCCCAGCACTTGGGAGGCAGAGGCAGGTGGGTCTAAATATCAAGATCCAGGACAGCCGAGAACTACATAAAGAATCCCTGTCTCAAGCCAAAAAGAAAAAGGAAGCTTTACTTACATATCACTTAAGATTGCTTTAGTTGGGGCTGGAGAGATGGCTCAGTGGTTAAGAGCATTGCCTGCTCTTCCAAAGGTCATGAGTTCAATTCCCAGTAACCACATGGTGGCTCACAACCATCTGTAATGAGGTCTGGTGCCCTCTTCTGGCCTGCAAGCATACATGCAGACAGAATATTGTATACATAAAGAAAAAAGATTGCTTTATTTCTGTAACAGAGTTGAGTAGTTTGACTTTATGGCCCCCAGAGCCATAAAGTCCCTAGACTTTGGTTTAGGGAGATGGAAAAGAGAATGTGTGTAAATACATGCATGGAGAGGATGTCGGATTTAACTGGTCAGCCATGTGGTGTAATGAGGGTCAAAGAAGCTTAGAATGAATACAAAAAGACGCTTGCTTACACTCATTGACCAGAGAATAAGGCTGGATAAAGGAGAAGTGAGAAGACAGACACACTAAGAATTGTGGAGTTCAGCTGCAGGCTGTTAGAGTTTGCAGTGAACTAGGAAGGTAAAAATAATAGACAGTGCAAATGTTTCAGACTGAGATTTAGGGAGGTTATCATTGTTGATGGCAAAGAAACAGAAATAGGACATACAGACTGTTCTATATTTTTTGGTCTTTAGCAAAACACGGTGTCTAACCATGTTTCAGTGAACTCTAGAGGTCAGAGGAAAGAAACTTTTTCTTGGTTCACTCTGGTAGGCTCAAACTGATGCAGTTTTAGCATCATTAAGATTTTGGAGGGTGGGAGTTTTCTTTTTTAGCTTTTTTTTCTGGCTTTATAACATTTGACAACATATCAGACAATATTCATTTGCCTTGTATAAACCACATTGACTGTGAGATCCCTGTGCACTTGGCTCAGCAGATAAAGGCACCCATCACCAAGCCTAATGGCCTGAGTTCAGTCCCCCAGGACCCACGTGGTAGAAGAAAAGAACTAACTCTTGGAACTTGTTCCTGACCTTCACTGGATAAACCATGGCATACCTACTAATATATACACATAATAAAATGCAATTTTCAAAGATATACCTTATTATTTTTAAGATATACCTTATTATTATGTGTATATATGTGGGTTTGAGTATGAGTATGTGCAAGTGCCCTCATTGGATATCCTTAGAGCTAGAGTTATCCACTCAGCATGGATACTAGAAATTGAACTCAAGTCCTCTGCAAAAGTAATACATGCTCTTAGCCACCAAGCCACCTCACCAGCCCCAATTTAAAAAATAGAGGTTTAACTGAATGCTTTATAGGAAGAAGTGCAGCATACAGAGACAAGAAGCACAGCCTCTGGTATTTATAAATTCATCTGCATCGTTGTTATGTGAACCCACAAGAGTCTGTTAAAGGTCTCAATAATAGCATCCCATAGCACATCATTCTATAGCTAGGCATAGCATACTTTTCTTCTTCCAGTGCTAAGAGTTGAACTTAGACCTTGCATTTGTTAAGGCAAGTGTCCTACCACTGAGTTAAGTTCACATTCACATAGCATACTTTAGGCAGTCATTTTTTTTAAAACTTTTTTTTTATTTATTTACTTAACTTTATTATGTTTGTTGGTGTGAAGGTGTCAGATCTCATGGAACTGCATTTTCAGACAGTTGTGAGCTGCCATGTGGGTGCTGGGAATCGAACCCGGGTCCTCTGGAAGAGCAGTCAGTGCTCTTAACCGCTGAGCCATCTCTCCAACCCCTAGGCAGTCATTTTTCAAGTGATTTTTTTCCACGTTTGAGTAATAATAGATAAATGTTTCTGGCCAGCTAGATCTACAGAATATGTAGAAAACAATAGTTATTTCAGTTCATTGTTTTCCTTTCATTTTATTTACTGTTATTATACGTGTATACACGTGTGTGATAGAGGTTACAACCACATCACATGTGTGTGCAGATCAGAGGACAGACTTATTGCACATGTATATACATGTATGATAGAGAGAGGTTACAACTACACCACCTGTGTGGAGATCAGAGGACAGACTTATTGCACATGTATATACATGTATGATGGAGAGAGGTTACAACTACACCACATGTGTGGAGATCAGAGGACAGACTTATTATTGCACATGTATATACATGTATGATGGAGAGAGGTTACAACTACACCACATGTGTGGAGATCAGAGGGCAGCTCTTATTATTGTACGTGTATATATGTGTATGGTGGAGAGAGGTTACAACCACATCACGTGTGTGGAGATCAGAGGACAGCTCTGTGGAGTCAGTTTCTTCCCTCCATCTTTATTTGGGCTCCAGGGATCAAGCTCAGGTCCGAGGCAAGGCCCTTTTCCAGCCCTCAACCAGTTCTTCCATGAGGTTCCAAGGATGTTGCCCATGCATTCTCCTGTATATTCACCTGTCATGTAATATGTTCCCCATTTCCTGATAGTGCACTTTCTGTACCTTGGAACTGGTTATAAATGGTTGTATAACAAAGAGTCCCACAGTTTCTATGGGACAAGAACTCAGAAATAGCTTAGCTGGGTGATCCTGCTCAGTCTAATGAGGTTGCTGTCGGGATGTTGGTAGGAATGCAGTCATCTGAAGATTGACTGAGCTTAAGGGTCCATCTTTTTCCTGAACACATTGGCTTTTCTGCAGGCCTACTTGAAAGTCTTTTTAATACGTTAACTTTCCCCAGACAAGTGATTCAAGACATATTCTTTAGTGATTCAGTTGTTAGAAGCAACTCGTTAAGTACAGCCTCACACTCAGAATGGAGGTTGGACTCGCCAAAGGAGGTATATGTACCAAAGTGATACATACACAAGTATGTGTATGACTCTGTAGCTCAAGTTCATTGGTGAAAAAATGGTGGCCATACAAGCCTTATGAACTCAAAGCCGTTGGTGTCCTTCAGTATTATTGCTGGTCCCTATACCACACCTCTCAAAATGTGGACATTTTATAACTATCACAACTGGCTTTGATACTGTGTTCCTGACTGGGGTACCATCAATAATAGATTTTATTCAAGGGTATCTAATTAGCCAGAAACTTAGTACTTACAAACTGATTCTTAGAGCTGGGTAGCTTTTTCCCCTCTTCCTCAGATGGATGTAATAGCTATTTAAGAACTAAATAAAAAGAGAAACTGTGAACATATGAACTAACTTACCTAGCAAACATCATGTCACTATGTACAGGAAAATACAAACAAGCCTCGATATCTGTATCTTTGAGGAATTTAAATTAGAGAGTACAAACCAAAAGTGACAAGTAAGAGAAAGGGATGACAGGTGTACAAAATGCCATGCTTACATGAGGAAGGAACGTCTAGCAGAGACTTGAGAAGTCAGGGAGTCAGAGAAGCTAAGAACAGTGCCTCCACCACGAACTCAGGCACAGGGCTTTGATCCTCTGCGGGAAGGTGCCTCACTCCTCTCATTGCCTTGCAGAATGTTGCTGAGGCACAGTGCATCGCCAATCAGGTTCAACTCTTCTATGCCACTGATCGGAAGGAGATCTTTGGGCTAGTAGAAACCTTTAACTTCAGACCAAATGAGTTCAAATATATGTCTGTCATCGCTGAATTGGAGCAAAGTGGACTTGGAGCAGAACTGAAATGTGCCCAGAACCAGGATAAGACTTAGAGATATCTGAATTGACCCTTCGCAGAGTTGACTCAGTCCTGGATAGCCTGAAGTCCACCCAAACCCTTGACCTCCAGAGTTCAACGCAACACGCAGTCTGTAAAGAGTTACCATGTATGCTACTACAAGAAGAGACTATGGGCATGAGCCCTAATACTTGATATTCAGAACGAAGGTATACAAATACTTTGATAATTACCTCTCACTCTAACGGTTCCTTTTATGTGTTTCTGGGCATTTAAACAAGAAATATTCAGGGATCTGCAAGACTATTGACAGGGTTTTATTCAGTGTAACAGTGAAGTTGCATTCTGGCCATTTTGACTTCATAGCTCCCAGTTCTTTGTCTTTCTAAACCTGTAGCAATAAGCTTGAGGATCTTAAGAGATGTCGGCTTTATGCATTCTTTCCATGCACCAGTGAACTGGCTGAAAACAACCCGAGAATCCTGGCCAGACTCAACACAACTTGCTATTCTCCTCAAAATAAAGACTTCTGGCTGCCCCTCCAGAGTTGTCTTCCGTGTAACTCAGCGATTGCAGGTACAAGTGCCTGCAATAATAAACAAATACAATGCCTGCACACTGTTAAACCGTTGCTTTTGGCCCTGCTCCCTGAACTCTGCCTGTGAGAAGCTAATGAATCAGTTCAGTGTAAATAAAACCTTTTTAGAAGATCATTCCAGATTTGCATGATTTGAAAAGTTATATGAAAATGTGGTAGAGCACATGTTCCCAGACTTGAGTGTGGAGAATGTAGCAGAAAGTCTGGTTTTCAGTCTTTGCTCACAGAACAGTGGAAACTCAGCTGTGTGCTGTTGGTGGCATCAGCTGTGGGCTAATTTTATCAGAACTCTTCTTGGGGCTCAGTGATTTCTTGAAATGCCACAAATAAGCAAGTTATTCTTCACCAGAAGTACATGTCTCTCTCTAGCTCCAGGTTCACTTGTGAAAAAGAATGGTGGATCCAGACCAGCCTTATGAACTCAGCCTCAGGTGTCGCCCAGTGTAGCCGGTCCCTGTACCACACCTCATCTTATCTAATGTGCTCCACTTTAATCAACCTCAGTCTGATGTTGTTAGATGCCACCAGACATGGTGAATAGAAAGTTAAGTAGTAGTTTCAGCTTATGTCTATATATTATTCATTACAGGTTTTTTTAGGGTGGGCTTCTCAAAGCTTTTTAAGTGGGTGTGGTGGTCTGAATAAGAACGGCTCCCATAGGCTCATAGATTTGAATGCTTGGTCACCAAGGAAGGAGTAGAACCGTTTGAAAGGGTTAGGAAGATTAAGAGGTGTAGCTTTGGAGGAGGGGAGAGGGGCTTTGAGGTTAAAAGCCTGTGCCAGGCCCAGAGTGTGTCTCTCTCCCTCTTCCTCTCTCCCTCCCTCCCAGCATGCAGGTCAGGATGTAGCTCTCAGCTACTCCTCCAGTATCATTCCTGCCTGCTACCATGCTCTCTGCTGTGATGATGATGGACTGAGCCTCTGAAACTGTAAGCAAGCCCCAATTAAATGCTTTCTGTTATGAAATATGCCGTGTCATGGTGTCTCTTCACAGCAGTGAAATGTGACTAAGACAGCAGGGTTGGCCAGCCCATTATTTTCTGGATGGAGAAACAGATAGTGTTTCTTTAACCTGGAGAAGCTATGCTGTGCTTTCAGTTTCTCTGAAGGTTGAGTGTTTTCTGATGCAGCTTCTAGACCTGCCATGGTCACAATAGTCCACATTTTAAGAACTTGAATGCTATCAACTCTGCAGTTTTCCTTAAATGCCTTCCACGCTTCTGGGTGATATAAGTCTGGAGACTCGGCCTTGGGTGGGGCTGCTTTTGTGGGTATCCAGCTATGTTTGTTTTTCTCTAGAAAGGCCCAGTTCTTAGTCACAGAACATTTTCATGACACCACTACTAGCAGGTAAAAAAAAAATGATGATGATGAAAAAAGTAAAGAACTAGCTGTTCATGTCATATCTCCTCCCAGCTTTACCCTCAATCCCATCTTGCCAAAGAAGGATGCCATCTGACTGTTGTTAATATTTATTTTACCAAAGAGATCTAACAGATAAATGAAAACCGTAGTAGTTAGTCTGTAAATGCATTCCCTGATTCCAGCATACTGTTTCTAAGGTGGGCTTTGGAGCTCATTGAATTGGGTTCACATAGCAGCGTTACTTTTCTTAGCTTGTTAATGATAAATTACTTAAACTCTAATTCTTACCTTTCTTCTGAACACGGGGACAATATCTACCTCATTGGATTATTTTGAGACTTCGATAAGCTTCTATATAGACTACAATAGAATTCAGTACATGCTGGATCCCTTCTTCTTTAGTTCTTCATTAAAGACCAACACAGGGGCTCGGAATAGCTCAATGGTGGAACTATGTTTCTAGCATGTATCAGGCCCTGCATTTGGTTCCCAGCACCAGACAGGAAGAAAGTTAAGTCAGCATTTCAAATGCAGAGATCACAACAAATTCTATCTCACTGGTTCCCAACTTGAGATGCAGTGGAATCACTTAAGAGCACTTAAAGATGCAATTCGTGGGTGCTGGCCGGCTGACTGAAGTATGCAGAAAGCCCTGACAACCTACATTTTAGTATGTATGTACTAGGTAATTCTGATGTGGGTAATTCGTGAGCTTTTGTGAGCCATCACCTTGTCTCTTATGAAAATGTCCACTAGGCGGTCTTTTCTCACCTACAGACATTCACAAAGGATTTAGATTCCTCTGCTCGCTGTCTTTCTAGTAGTACTCTAGTTACATTGCATTATATTTATTTTTGTGTGTTTACCCCACTAGACTGTGAGCTCCTTGAGGGCCAGGATTTATCTTTATTCTCAGTGCCAAGGACATGACGTGAACCACAAAAGAAACTCAACTGTTGAACAAATAAATGATACAGATTTTAGCCATAAACTCTTATTGATGTATGTGTTTCTCTATTTGAATCATGTAATGTTGTGGTACCCCACAGGTTCCTGTATTTGAACACTTGGTCCATGGCTGGTGACACTACTTTGGGAGGTGTGGGACCCAGCTGGCAAAGGTAGGTCAGCAAGCAAGGCCTTAAACATTATGCCAGCTTCTAGTTCAAGATTACTCTGTTTCCTGATCCATGGCCTCAGTGTGAACAAGCCTCAGCTACCACCATCCAGCTGTTGGGAACTCTGCCAGGCCTTCCCAGCCCTGATGGGCTGACTACACCTGCTGAAAGCACAAACCCAAGTAAATCTTTATTTTAAGCTGTCTGTCAGGTGTGCCGTCACAGAGACACAAAGTAACTAGTGATACACTTGAACTTAAGACTATCTATCTATCTATCTGTCTGTCTGTCTATCTATCTATCTATCATTTCTATCCCTCTTTCACTCTCACACTCATTCTCGCTCTCTCCCACCTGCCCTCCCCGGGTCTTCTTTTATTATTATTTAAAAATTTTATGCCAGGGAGTAGTGGCACGTGCCTTAATTCTAGGACTCAGGAGGCAGAGACAGCCAGATCTCTTGAGTTCACGGGCCCGCCTGGTCTACAGAGTGAGCTGTAGGAAACCAGGGTGGTAACACAAAGAAAAACCTCGTCTCAAAAAACAAAAGTATATGTATGGGTATTTTGCTGGTGTATATGTTCGCATACCATGCATGTCTGGTGCCCGTGAAGGCCAGAAAAGGATGTCGGATCCCCTGGAAGTGGAGTTCTAGGTGGTTATAAACCACCGTGTGGATGCTAGGAATCAAATCCAGGTCCTTTAGAAGAGAGGCCAGAACCCTTAAGAACTGAGCCATCTTTCCAGCCTCCATCTCGCAATGCCTCTCAGACGTTTAAGACAAGATCGATCTCATATAGCCCATTATATCAGCTATTATATCATTATATGGCTAAAGCTAGTCCTGATCTACCAGCCTCCACCTCCTAAGCGCTGGGATTATAGGCATGCACCAGTATCCCTGGCTTCTCTCTCTTTTTAGTGCTAGGAATTAAACCTTCACACATGCTAAGCAGTGAGTTATAGCCCCAGCTGTAGCAAATGAGCAGCTGCCCACAGAGCACCTACTGCTGGGTTCGGTGCTGCACATAGGAGGCTGAGGAGGATATGACCCCTGCTCTCGGGCTGTGTATCCGCCACCTGTATCTTGCCTCTGATTCTGAGCCTTATCTAGAACCTGCTTTGCTTTGTTCTCAGAATAGTCATACTTCTCTTCCAACTCATTTAGAAGGTAGAGCTATTCTACACAAGAGTGACCTTTTGTTCAGTCTTGGAGAAGAGGCACAGATGCCAACTCCCCCAGGCACTTGATAAAGCAGTTACACTTACCAAGCACCTGTTTAATACTGAGCACTTAAAGTGAGAATACAGCAGTGGACAGGACAAACAGCACCTCTGCTCTCAGTAGCTTATATTCCCATAACAAAGACGAGTAAACTAGCAAAATTATCTCAACTCTGATGTTGGTTGTTTACTTTTTGGCTCTTTACTTTTTTTTGTGGGGCCCTCCACCCAGCTCCCAAAACACACACACAGTCTTATTCTTACTGATGAATACCTGGCCTTAGGTTGGCTTGTTTTTAACCAGCTTTTCTTAACTTAAATCATCCTGTCTACATTTTGCCTGTGGGCTTTTACCTTTCTCTATTTCTTTTCTTCTTCCGTTTCTGTCTGTGTAGCTGGGTGGCTGACCCTTTCTTTCTTTGTTTTTTGATCCTTTCTTCCCAGATTTTCCCTATTTATTCTCTCTGCCTGCCAGCCCTACCTATCCTTTCTTCTGCCTTGCTATTGACCTTTCAGCTCTTTATTTGACAAATCAGGTATTTTAGACAGGCAGAGTAACACAGTTTCACAGAGTTAAACAAATGCAACATAAAAGAATGCAACACATCTTTGCATCATTAAACAAATATTCCACATCATAAACAAATGTAACACATCTTAAAATAATATTCTACAACACGACTCAAATACCAGCAACTATAAAACAAAGTGTAATGTAACTGTTGAGTGAAGGCAATGACTTACTAGCCAGGAGAGCCATCTTTGCAGAGGTCACTGTGGGGTATGTAAGTGGGAGAGAGAGTACCAGGTAAAGTGAAGCAGGGAGAGAGATCCACTGCCCACTCTCCTTGTACTCTCCTGCCCTCCCCCACCCCCAGCTCAGAAGAGAGCAACCTCCAATCACCTCACACCCCAGCCACAGCTGTAAGCTCAGGTCTCCAGAAGGCAGGGGTAGTAGTAGGGCCAGTCCAAAGAAACTTGTCTGCCAACTCTCCTGGGGATGAAAGAACAATGTGAGCGTTTTGAAGGACACCCTGATCTAACCACAGAGAACCCTTCTGGTGCACTGCTTTATGCTCATGGAGCATTTGGTCCTCTCCATTCTGCTCGTATAACAGGATGGGGGCATTTTTATTCCTGTCTGCTAACAGAGAGACTTCAGGCAAAGGGGAGAGGTGACTTAAGGCACCTGCCTGCATCAGGAGCCATGCCAAGAAAAGAAGTGATTGTCCATGTTCTAGACATACGGCTTCCCTTTGTCACATCCATTCACACAGGGTCACTTCAGGCTGTTTGGGCCTGAAGAACTGAGATAAAGAGGCCCACCTATCCTTGAGTCAAAAAGAAAAAGAAAGAAAAAAAGAAAGAACCATGATATCTATCAGAAAGAAGGTTTCCAAGCAAACAAGCCTGCTAGGATTCAATGAACATTAAGGACAAAGTTCCTTTCTTTGGATCATCTCACAGGGACTTTGCGATCTGGTGCCTTCTGACTCTCATCTCTTGCTGGGCTCCTTAGCTACAGCCATTTTATTGACAGTGCTCCAACTTCCTACCTCTGTTCCGGTGTTTTTGACTATGTTTGTCTGATTGAAATGCCTATACCCATTTCATGAAGTTATTTCCTATCTTTCAAACTTCCATTAATGCATCTCAGCCGCCTTTTCCCAAGTCCTGCTGTCCCCACATTACCCCTGCATGGGTTATATGCTCTACTTCCTCAACATTCCATGCTCAGCCTTTACAACGATGACGCCCTTTAGCGACAGAATTCTATTCCTGTGTTCCAGCATGAAATCTTACCGAAAGATAGGAGGTCCTGAGGAGTCTGAATAAATTCCCCAGTGGCCACTAAACTCAAACCCACAGGAGTCTATAAGCATCCCCGAGGTCCAGCCCTGACAAACATGGTGTTTGTGTCCAGTTTCAGTCAATGGCTATTTTGCTTACTCTAGAAGCTACATGTAGAAAACAAAGGCAAGGTGCTGACATGAGAAGCAGCCAAGTCAGCTGGGCAGTGGTGGTGCATGCCTTTAATCCCAGCACTTGGGAAACAGAGGCAGGCAGATCTAGCCTGGTCTACAAGAACTAGTTCCAGGATAGGCTCCAAAGCTACAGAGAAACCCTGTCTCGGAAAACATACAAACAAAAAGCATGTTGAGAATTTTGGGAGTCTTGACTGGACTCCAAAACCGGAGGCTAGGAAGAAAGAAAAGAAAGCAGGTTAAACTCAGGCCAGATCACGCAGATTGGGGTAATGATTTAGCACTCACTAGTCACAGCCTGCTGAACCCAGTGCCCACACATAGGCAAAGACAGCAAGAGGGTAGGAAGTAAGATGCAGGAAGGCCTACAGCCAGCAAGCTAACATCTGGATCAGGAGCTAGTCAACACCTGGAACTTGGGGCCAAAGTATATAAGCTTGTATCATTATTTATACATGGCTTATCTGAGAATTATTTTTGTTTGCAAAAAAAATATTTATTTTATGTGTAGGTATGTGCACCCCGCCCCTCAAAAGTTATAGCTTTTAGAGTAACCTGTTTGTGTGTCAAGTTGATGGTTGCTTTTTTGTTTTGTTTTGTTTTCTGAGACAGGGTCTCTCACCACATACCCCAGGCTGGCCTTGTACTCACAGAGATCCTCCTGCCTTTGCCTTAGTGCTGGGATTAAAGGCGTGTGCCACCACACCTAGCTTTTTGATGGTTGCTTTTAATGTCACCTTGCTACAAATTAGAATCAGCTGAGAAGCTTCACCAGAAGAATTGTCCTGACTGCCTCCATTAATAGGGGAAGACCCCATCAGCTGTGTAAGCTGCCTTCCGATAGCAGGCCAGATTTTGAAAGGGGGACATGGGCAGAAGGAAGAGGCTCTTGCGTGCTTGGCCTGCCCTCTCACTGTCAAATTGATTAGCTCTTTTGCTGCTGCTGCTACTTCCTTTCCTGAAATCTTCAAGAATCACCATTCCCAGGCTCATCATTAACTAAGATCCACTGGCTTTCCAGGACCCTCCAGGTTCTCTGTGCTAGACTGTGGCTGCTGAGGCACCCAGCCCCATGAGACTGAGCAATGCTGGGTTGTTGAAAAGCCACTATGGGACCCAACCGCTAGGTCCAAGCAACAGCCAGGTTCTCAGCCTCTATGATGGGGCACTATTAGGAGTTATTTGGGCAGCACAAACTGGATTTGATGGGTTAAGAAAGAGAGGACACAATGCGGAGTGAGTAGGAAAGGAGAGGTGGATCTGGGAGGAGTTGAGGGAGGGCTTGAATATGATCAAAATATGCAGTACACATTTTTCAAAGAACTGATGAAAAGGAAATAAAAGATTTGCCAGTCGTTGTCCTTGAGGAACATTTTCCAGAGAGTGAAACACTATTGCCAGGATGTCTTAAGTGAGGACCTCAGTGTAGAGGCCTTTACAAACCCATGGGGCCCAGATATTTTCCTTGTTTGACTTTGAGAGCTGAGACTCCCCCTGGCTCGTGATCCCTGGAGCCAAACACTGGATTAGCTCTAGCTCCTGCTGATTTGGCCCTGACCCCCGTGGCTGTGTGAATTCAGTGCTGCCTGTACAGGCTGCAGCTCTCCATCTGTCCAGCATGCATTTGTTCTGGCCCATGATGAGCAAGCAGAGGGGGATGAGT